GTCACCCTAATAAATAGATTGGATTTTTTTAAATGGATCGGCATTTGGTCATGATCTCTCCTGGTGGCAAGCGATGATGTGGCCTGTGAAGGAGGACGTCTAGCAACGAAACTACTCAAGCCTAGAATATCTTCAACAAATTCAGATTAACCATCAGGAAATAGATTCTGGCAAAGCATTGCAGTCCTTATTGCCAAAATCTGTATAACTGTGTTTGTTTTAGTTAATTCGTGAAAAGGTACATTTGTAACGTCAACATCAAAGTCAGTGAAGTTAGATCATGAGCGAGGTGCTCGGTCGAAAGTGCAGATTTGTATGAAGATGAACGATCAAGAAACTCCATCACCATTATAATATGAAATCATGCTGAATGTTACGCTTACATATAGGACCAGATAACTTAGTAGCGAGATGAGACCTCGTTCGGTGCTCTAATTGGCCGGCTCCAATGAACCAACCAATCAGAATGCTGAACGCGGTCTCTTTCTGATTTTATTAAACGTAAAACAAACTTGTACTAAGGGTACAGTTTACTACTAAATGATCAACAAAAAATGTCGTTAAATCCTTTAATATTGTATTTAACTATCGTACGTCGTCTGTATTTACAAGAGTTGCTTCCTGTACCATAGACGGGATTCTGTTCAATATTATAAACAGTAAGTTATTATAGCTTTTATGTACCACCAGTATCGAGAACTTCCTCCGTTTTGAAGTCGGCTAAAAAGTTGCGGTGACTCGATTTAGGCCATACTGGATGTTTGTGTGTAATCCATAAATTATTGGTCAGTGGTTAGATGCATTGTCTATCCGAAATTGCTTGTAGACGCATCCACAAAATGTAAAATAAGGTAGATCCTTTTTTAACTAAAACGAATGCGTATTTCTGAAATTGGACCCTTGCAAAACTAATGCTAATACAGATGTCTAACTGTCTAATGTATATCCCTGTAGTGTAAGCGGTATTACACCATATCATCCGAGGAATCTAGCCAAACCAGGTATATGAGGGCGCCGAAGAACCACCAGCGTAAAAGTGATTCACCAATAAAATATCATTAATATTACTAACTAGCTTTTGCCTGCGTATCTTATCTTATACTACTTATTATATAAAGCGGAAGAGTTTGCTTTTTTGTTTGTTTGTTTGAACGCGCTTATGTCCGTAACTACAAGTCTGATTTGAATAATTATTTCTGTGTTGGATAGTGCATTTATCGAGGATGCCTATAGGCTATAAAACATCACGCTACGACCAATAGGAGCTTAGCCGAGCGTGTGAAGCCGCGCGGAAGTAGCTATACTATATATAAAGCGGAAGAGTTTGTTTTTTTGTTTGTTTGTTTGAACGCACTAATCTCCGTAACTATAAGTCTGATTTGAATAATTATTTCTGTGCTGGATAGCGCATTTATCGAGGATGGCTATAGGCTATAAAACATCACGCTACGACCAATAGGAGCTTAGCAGAGCGTGTGAAGCCGCGCGGAAGTAGCTATACTATTATATAAAGCGGAAGAGTTTGTTTTTTTGTTTGTTTGTTTGAATGCGCTAATCTCCGTAACTACAAATCTGATTTGAATAATTATTTCTGTGTTGGATAGCGCATTTATCGAGAATGGCTATAGGCTATAAAACATCACGCTACGACCAATAGGAGCTGAGCAGAGCCTGTGAAACAGAGCGGAAGTAGCTAGTTCGTAGAATAAAAAGTAGCCTAGTTATTACAGACCATAATCTACTTCTGTTGCAAATCTCATCCGATCTTTTCAGCCGTTTTGATTGAGTACCAATATATACAAACTACACCGTGTCGGCGCTGGCGGTGACCGGGCCACTGGTTACCGTGCAACGTGTCGCGGGCTCGATTCCCGCACGGAACAACTCTTTGTGTGATCCACAAATTGCTGTTCCAGGTCTTGGTGTGTTTTTAGTTAATACAATTTTAAATGTGTGTTCTATTATTAAATATTTATTCTACAAGTTCAAATAGCGGTTCTTCCTCATGAACAGCGTGCGCGGTCGCGGCGATGTCGCGCAGCCTACTCAGAACCAGGGAAGAACCCCTCTGAGGTTCGAAACTAGTAGAACTTTTCTCAGTACCTCTATATTCACGTGAGTAACCCGCGATTTTTAGTTGAACTTGTATGATTGTAAACACACCCACGACACAGGAGAAAATAATAGTGTGGGGCAACGTTAAAAAACACACTAAATTTTCGCATTTGTAATATTAGTAAGATTACTATTAATAATCTTGTTATAACTTTACCTGCTAAGTGACACGAAGATTGGCAACGTTGCCATTTTGTTGCAAAATCTGAAAAATAAAAAAAGGTTGATAACGTTTTTGATTTATGACCAACAATACTGACAACTGTTTGTAAAGTTAAACGTATTTATTTTGTAATCTTTTTAAGTATAAATGACTGGCCGGTTGGCGCGGTGGCAGGGCAACCGGCTGCCGCACAAAGTGTAGCCGGATTTGATTTCCGCACGGAGCAACTCTATGTGTGATTCACAAATTGTTGTTTAGAGTCTGGATGTCATGTGTATGTGAACTTCTAGGTAATTATGCTTTTACACGCACCCACGACACGGGAGAAAATCCTGGTGTGGGGCAACGTTTAATAACAATCAGAATAAAATAAAAATCAATCTAAGTATCTCTGCTTTTCATAGCAATCTATTTAATACTTTCTACGAAAAATTGTTCAAACATCCATTTAAGTTTAAACGTAAATGCACATCATTATCAACACAAAGTAACATGCACATCTCTTTCGAACTAACGAACAATACATGAGTTTAAATTAAAGCATTAAAATGATAATTCAGGACATAGTTTTGCGGATACTAGTAGTCCAAGCTACTTACTTACATATTAAATAACAATACTAACCTATATTCAAAACATTATCTCCAATAATTACACACAACACTTAAAACTTCACAAATATACGTATTATGCGTTCACAGATACTAAGTAAACATCAACAATCTACCTATTTAATTATCAACACAAAAACAATCACAAACGCACTGAATTAATCCTTTTTTGAATTTAAAAAATGAATACGTCACACTGACGCGCGTCTATGACGTGCCATCACTACTCTATGGACAAAAAGCGCGCCAGTTTATTTTTATTGGAGCTCTTTGCATGGGGTTGCGGTCGCTATAATTTAGGGCAGTAAGAGGATAGAATTATCGGATCCGCGCATGCGTGGTGGTCTCGCCGCATAAGTACGCAAATAAGCGAGTGTTTTGTGAACTAGAAATAACGATATCGCGGGAGGGATGCAAATTGTATGGCAATACTGCACATTAACGTGTAATTGCATAGTTTCATTTGTACATGAAGCCCGTTGTGTTACACTTTTTAACCGACTTCCAAATAAGAAGTAGGTTGTCAGTTTTACCTGTGGTAGGTATATATTTTTTTTTATGGAATAAGCCGGTAAACGAGCAGACGAATCACCTGATGGTAATCAATCGGCGTCGCCCATGGACACCTGGAACACCAGAGGCGTTACAAGTGCGTTACCGGCCTTTTGGGGATTAGGAGTTTGAGGATCGTTAGGGATTCATGAATTGGGGAGATTGGGAAAGGGGCGGGTAATTGGGCCTCCGGTAACCTCACTCACACGACGAAACAAAACACAAGCGTTGCTTCACGTCGGTTTTCTGTGAGTGGTATCACTCCGGTCGTGCCGGCCCATTCGTGTCGAAGCATGACTCTTCCACACTTAAATTACAAACGTATTTTTATATGAATATATGTATGTTTGTCCGTAATTTTCTCGCGATTAGCTGTGTTTCAGCTATCAAAAATTTGGAAACGGCTTTAAAGTGTTTCTTACACTTGGAGCATAGGAGCAGATTTTTGTAAATTAACCGACTTCATAAAAAAGATGGACTTTGTAGTCGATGTTTTAAACGTTATTTAACCCGTCGTGTGTCTAAACGTGGATCCAAGCGAGACACAACGTATTTTCTATTATGTCTCATATACAAAGAAAGAAAGAAAAATCATTTATTTTGCTACGACACTCAACAAGAATTTAGAAACACAAAAAAAGGCATTAGGTACATATACAGGCATTCAATTGTTTTATGATCTCCTTCATCGTATTTAATCTCACTTAGCTGGTTTATCATACAACTAGAATGTTATCCTGCATCGTGGGTGCATTTACACGTAAGAGAAGCAAGATCTGCAGGTAGGTCAAATTATAGCTTGACATACACAATCTGATCCTGATCGGGAACCACAAATGCATGTAATGTCTATCAACTAAAAAACTAATTTCAATTAATCTGGTCGCCGACACCGCATCGCACAAATACCACGAACTTAAAAGCTTTTCTTGCTCTGCTCTGATATATATACAGAATTATTTTTTTCCCTGTACTGACGTGTGCCACTATCTACGGGTCAGCAGGAAGCATGCTTGGCCAAGCATGCTACTTAGACTTATGGTCGCAATGAACTTATAGCAGTGGCATAAGTTAATAATAAATGAAATTAATGCTAGTTCATAATACTTATCTTGTAATGATTTAATATAACTTCATAATAACTTCTAATACAATGCACTATTAAATGCAATTAATACCTACTCCTTGTTGCATTAGGTACCTACCCAGTAAAAGTAATAGAAACAAAAAAATACCTGAATAAAATAACCCCTGTAAAGGCACGCTACGCCACTAGCTCGCCTATTATTAGCCATATACCCAAGCCTTAGACTTAGAGTATCAAGCATAATCATGTTCATGTTAATCAATTCAATACAAGTTCAATGAATCACTTGGTGGAGAAAAAAGGTTTTAATCATAAAAACTTATTACATTCGACCGCATGGGGCATTCTGACATGAAATCAAAAAAAAATTGGCACGTCATACATAGTTACCTCGGTTACCTCACTTTTGCCTCATCTAACCTAATAGATCGTATATAAATAAAAAATAAATTACAGAAATTAATAATACAACATGATATACACAAAACAGCAATGGTACACGCCAGCCGAGGTGGCTGTCCACAACCAAGCGACAGACTGTTGGGTATCATTGAATGGAAAGGTCTATGATTTGACATCCTGGCTCCAACTTCAGTTCAGAACTTGTATGTGTACCAAGTCATGTTCCTGTGCTGTCAAAACTTGGTATTGTAATAATTGCGTGGAGTATTGTCCCTGTTTTAAGCAGGGTTACTTCTTTTGCGACAGCAAGAGGGTAATTACAATTGCTTATGTTTTTGGTGACGCCGTTACCTGTAACTCATCATTGAGCTTTAGATTACCACTTCTTTTATCTAGTAAATGTTACCTGGCTCATAATAGATGATATTTTAGCTACAGTACACCCTTATCAGAGAAATTGCTTTTATTGCAGTTGGCTATGACCATTCTGGCGTACGCTGGTAAAGACTTGAGTCATTGGTTTAAAAATGGGGAATGGGTGCATTACATCCATCCAGTAACGGGCTCTGAAGTGACTTACCGAACACATGGGCACTCTTCCCGTCAGCCTGTAGTACCTTCCACCAGATGGCGGCCTTTGGAAGAACCTTGGTGGGCTGGGGACAGATATGTCGTGGGTAAATCCACAGCCAAAACTAGACCCATCAGGATAACGAATACGTTAACAGGTGACTATGATTAATGGTCATGACCATACAATATTGTGGTGCAATCTAACTGGTATGATGATACAATTGGGATGATGACAGGGTATGAAAATTAAGAATATAATTAGTCCGTAAGTTAGGTAATTAAAAAATATTAGACACGTTTTTTTTTTATTTTGTCGTATAATAAAACAATACTTAGATAACACAAATCAAAGTTTAGAAGTGGGGGAGGGCTAAGAGGTCATTTCTACGTATAAAATGTACATAGAAGTGACGTCACGCGACATTTCAATTCAATATATCGTCGGAAGTATTCGTTTCTGTGAGAAAATAAAAAATACATGTCTTATGATTTAAAATAATCTACCAGACGGACATTAAAATAAAAATTAGGCATCTACCCTATTGTAAGGTAGCTGATAGAAACTTGTACAGCCAACTATTTAATTACCATATCCAGCCATAACCATTTCTTCTGATAGCGAGGACATTTATACGATTATAAGCGTGTTTTTAATTCTTTTAACTGTGAAATTGTTTTTATATTCAAGTACATTTTACATTACATTAGGTTCAACAGTGACCCTTGAAGTGTGCAGTGAAGAAACTATTTATGAGATCATGATGAGATATTTGCCGCATAACAGTCATTTGCTGTCATATACTTGGCGATACATGGGCAGAGGGCTATGTCTCAGTAAAACCTTGGATCAAAACGGGATACCTGATGAAAGAGATAGATTTAGCGACGTCGCTCTGGCAGAAAATATTCACATACCTGCCATTTTGATTTATTATAACGATGATTTGACTGAAGGTACTGGATTTTATTTCATTGTGACAATAAAAACAAATATATATATATATATAATGTTGTTAATACAGTATTGTTGTCTTGTACTGCCTCGTTGGCCGAGTGGTTGCAATTGCGACTGTCGGGCAAGGGGTCTCGGGTTCTGGAATCTGGAAAGGGAGCACGGAGTCTGGAATTGTGCCCGATAAAAGGCGTGATGTTATGCATTATGCATGTTTTCTTGTTACTGTCTAGACGTTGTAGGCATTTTGACAAGAACAAACCTGCTGTAGTCTGTAAGATTTTTGTACTGTGTACAGGGATAATTGGTGTTTAGTTTTCCTTTTCATTCAGAAACCAAAACCCCGTAAATGGGTAGATAAAGACACCTAACTAGTCTTCAACTAATGGTGTGTGGTGACAGTAGACCACTTATTTTCCCAAGGCCCTATGGGAGAACTACACATTTGACAGAGACCGGGCAGTCACGATCTCCAATAAATCTGAACCTTTTAAAATGTTATCTCCGACCCGATTGCAAACCCTTTCAAGTAGAGGAGCCTCCTCGTTCAGCAATAGGGAGCCTCATAATTCACGGGCTGTCGATATTGAAGTAGAATTAAATCAATAATTAAACGAAGCCCCAATTTCCCCAATCCTCGCATCTCCAACAACCCTCAAATTCCTAATCCCCATAAGGCCGGCAATGCACTTGTAACGCCTCTTTTTTTTTTTTTTTTTGAGGGGGGAAAATCATCCAATGACTTCTCCCGCCTGGGCGAGACGGGAGGGAGTGTCAGACTCTTACTGACTAAAAACCACCCCGTTCCTACACCTGCACTTCGAACCGGAGCCCCGGCAACCCGTTAAGTCTTCCGCGGCTCCGTATCGGCATCAGCCTTGTTAGGCCCCATCTGTGGTGGTCTGATGGCTCCTTGAGGCGCGCGCGGAACGCGACGCGCCGTACGCACGGGCCTGGTTCTGGTCGGGCGGCGAGTCATCCATGCTCGCCGTCCGCAGACCCGTGCTTACGGTGGCCGGAGATCGTCTCGCGATCCCCGACGCCCGGAGTGTCTCTCGCGACGGCCGGGTCGTGAGGAGGTTCGTTCCCTCACGCGCTCCGCCTCCTCCTTAGCTAGCATGACTGCTTCGCAGGAGGAGACGGCATCCCAGTCCCCCTCGCTCCGTACCATGGTCTGAACCAGAGCCGGACGCGAGAGGTCGCCGTCGCCGATCACATTCCTGAGGACACGGCGGTGCTCAGTCCACGCAGGACACACCGCCACCGTATGCTCCACCGTGTCCTCCGGGCGATCCTCGCAGTGATACTTGTAACGCCTCTGGGGTTTCGGGTGTCCATGGGCGGCGCTGATTACTTACCATCAGGTGATCTGTCAGCTCACTGGCTGGCTTGTCCCATAAAAAGAACGAACTAACGAGAATGATGCTATGTATACTCATTTGTAGATCCTCCGAGAGACGAGTGCTTCTGCATCGAGCCCACGTGTGTACTAAAAAGACCAGAGAGATGTTTCAAGGCTTGAATTTCGTCGCACTGATCCTAGCCAGATTACCTATATCAATCAAAGACGAACAGATGGAACAGAATGGCTTTGTTTTTTACTATATTTGGCAAGTTTCTTATAAATATACCTACAAATTAAAATGGGCATCATATGTTAACTCTTTCTTTTATTTAGTTTCGGCTAATATACCTACTTACAGTGTAGATGTCACTCATATGACTTAAATGAAACTACAAATAGGTACTCGTCCACGGAAGCATAATGCAACTTAATATTTCAACGAAAACTGAAAATTAAAAAAATAATTTTGGAACTAAAAAATAGTATGAACCCATTCCCAGATTACTTTTTACTAGGTAGTGATGAACGTTGAACGTGAAATTAGAGTTATTGTTATTATTTCAAACATTACACAACCTTTTAGCACACAGTTTACTAACAAACTACATACATAAGTACATACATAACCTCACGACTGTCGTCCATGGGTAGGTACAAACAAACACTACATGAAGAAACAAAGATCTTGACGTAAGAAATGTGGAATCCAAAATATCATTTTTAAGAAACAATAGCCGAGTGCAACTGTAAGTAGTCAGTTCCATACTGTGCACAGTCGTGTCTGAGTGTCCTATCATTGGTCAAGATAACAATAAACCATGTAAGTGGAATATTATACCTTTTTTACATTTGATGGGCCAACGTTTGACCACTATCTCGCCTGGTGATAAGCGATGATGCGGTCTACGATGGAACACGTCGTCCCATGAGCGACCTATCACTCGGGCCTTGATGACATCCAGGTTATGCCCTTCAGAAAATATACTCTAGCAAAGAATTCCACTCTTACTTTTACTTTAGTCTCTTTTTAATAGATAGGTCCATAGGAAGAAATAAAGAAATTGTATTTATGTACCATAGCATATAGTACACATTAATTGCCAAATTAACATTCAACAACAAATGTATTAAAAAAATAACAAAAACCAACCGAAAGAAAGGAAAACAAAAACTGTAACAAAAAAATTGTAATCGTTCGTCGATAAGGAGGAGACGGCATCCCAGTCCTCTTCGCTCCGCATCATGGCCCGGACTAGTGCTAGACGCGAGAGGTCGGCGTCGCCGATCACATCCCTGAGGGCACGGCGGTGCTCAGCCCACGCAGGGCATTGCCCAACAGTGTGTTCCACCGTGTCCTCAGGGCGGTCCTTGCTGTGATGACACCTGGTCGTTTCCTCCCGACCTACCGAAGCTTCTATATCCGGTGAGGACCTGCGTCCGGCGGTAGGTGAGGACGCCGTAGCGTCTCTGACCGCCATGCCGATCCTAGGCTATATACTATGTAGGCTACACATCATGATATTCATGATGACGAACTTGATTCGGAGGGTTCAATAGATAGGTAGCTCTTATTACACTCATTCAGCCATAAAGTTCTTAGCAATGCAAGATTTTTATCCAAATAATATGTCAAGCCAAATATGGCAATAGTTACAATAGCCAGTAGGTACTCGTTACCAATATAATGTAGGTAGGTATACCTACGTTGTCTGTTTCAGGTTGGCTGAATCTTTATTCATGTCTATACTGTTGGCTACTAGCCTCGCTATTAAGTTAGCTTATGAACCGATAAATTATGGAAGATACAGTACCACATATCAGAGAGGATGGATGGATGCTGCCATTGCTATAGTAGAATTAAACATGTTGGAGGATCAACCTGGCGTTGGAGTACCGACACTTCACGGCATGGGTGTCGCGATTGATTACAACAGAGTTCTCACTTCATATAACGCCATGCGACGTTTTGTTTTAACCAAAGGATCATTTGAGAAAGCTTATGTTGTAGTTTTAAAAGGTAGAAGTTACGATGCCAACAATAGGACATTTCATCATGATCTTGGTGTTTACAAAATTTTGTGCGGACGTCAACCTGTTCACGTAGACAACATTCCCGACCATTTGTGGTTCGACAAAGAACATCAGACCTCGCCATATCACGACTTGTTTGTGTTAAGAATTGATGCAAATTTGACTAAAAAACTGAACGCCTATCAACATAAGAATACTGGGTATGTGGAATCCGGTATAAATGAATACCAGCAATCATTGGAGGGGCTATATCTGAATTTAGTTAATCCCGTACCACAATTAGAAGGTTTTTTAGAAATTGGTTTCTATTATTACAGAGAAAACAGACCAAAGGTGCACGAGGTGAGATTATCAAACACTACATTCAGTACAAAAAATATACGTAACTGCGACTCAGTACTGCCGCGATATTGGGGATATTTTATTTGCGTTGAATTTAGCGTGAAATATCGACTGTTATCAGGCGCACTACTACTGCTCAATGGAGATGTAGCTGGAATTGGCTCCCACCAATATTTTACAGAAGTTGCAAATAGAATGGTTGCATTCACTGATGTAAGACCATATCGTTTTAATTTATTTTATGCCTGTTCAGAGCTCGAAACAAGTGGTACTGCAGAAAATCCGGTTAGGAAATGGAATATTGAATATTACTAGTGAAGCATCTTTGTAGGTTTTGGTACCTATCTAAAGAAAGTGGGAAACAAGTTTATTGAATATTAACGAGCAATGCAATTACATATTAACAACGAGCATAAACAATGTAATTGTTAAATTTTTATTTATTCCATAAAAATGAACATTTGCATTAATCGATACTGTATTTTTTATCTGTACTTCACCTATTTACCTATTATGAATTAATATATACTAAACTAACATTTGAAAAGTATGTTAATCTGATTTATTTCATATTTAATTGTGAATTTGAGAACTGTTCTTTAATAAATTGTTTTGTTCACTCATTTTTTTGCCTTGCTTTATTCGCTTGGCGCCATTTGATCACGTTACCATTTTACAAATTGGTTTTTTAAAAAAAAAACGTTGCCCCACACTAGGATTTTCTCCTGTGTCGTGGTGCGTTTACAAACATACAATGTCACATACACATGACACCCAGACCCGGAACCACAATCTGTGGATCACACAAAGAGTTGTTCCGTGCGGGCATCAAACCCGCGACACGTTGCGCAGCAGCCAGTTGCCCAGCCACCGCGCCAACCGTGCAGTCAAGTTTTTCACCCAGTCACTTTTTAGTCCCCTGCTCCTGTGTATCACAAGGCGATCCTAAAGACACTTCAAACTATAAACCAAGGTCAAACTTCAGACAGGTTTATGGAAAGGCTTTTCACCACTAGACTATATTCAAACACGGGCGCTGCTTATTGAAACAATAAAAACTGAGTTCAAAAAAACCAACTAAAAAAACATAAAAAAAATCCTTTGAAATACCTACTTCAAAAACCATGAAATACAAACTAAAACATAATCATTATTCATTGTACTCAGTACCTACCCACAGCACCCACTGAATATTAAGAAGTCGGTGCCACAAGCTCATATATGTACATCGTTCTATTCAGAATTTAATTCTCTATCGATCTGTCTAGTCTAGTCCTATGATTTACACATTTATTTAGATAATTTAGAATGTAATTCTCTATCGATCTGTCCTATGATTTTGTGCAAAATTAAATAGAAGCCAAAACAAACAGTAAGTCTTGCACGATGTGCCGTGCCACGCCGACAGTAGGCACCGGCCCTTACAAGCATCATCATCAACAGCCTATAAATGCCCACTCCTGAGTAAAACCTCTTCTCACACGGAGAAAGTTTGAGCATTGATCAACACGCTTGCTCAATGCGGGTTTACGAACTTATTATTAGAAATTATAGGCCCAAGTTTCCTCACGATGTTTTCCTTCACCATTTGTCAGTGATGTCTAGATAATGTTAGAAAGTACATATAACTCGGAAAAGTCACATTGGTACTTGCCCTTGTAGGTTTCAAGTTTAAGAGTAACGATATTTATGAAGCTTTTTGAGTGAACCCATCTTTATGTAATTTTGTGTGTTGATATTTTAGTGCTTTACTTACTTCTATATATGTATATTTGTTGGACCGTTAATGTCCCTATATGTATATCTGAAGCTGAATGCCTGTTTCTATGTAAATAGTGATTTGGGTTAATTTGTTTAATAAAGCACAGTTTAGCTATAAACACATGTATTTATAAGAGCACCATTCAGAGTCAGCGTGCGGAATGGCATACATCGCAGTTACGTGGTGGAGTGTCATGAGGCAGGCTGGTGGGGCGCTTGAGATAAATGTTTAACAATGTCCACCCAGTCCCACCCGCGTGGCTTCTCCCCCGCCCTGCCTATCTCCGCCTTGTCCCACGCTCTCCGCTTTTGCGCCTTCGTTAAATGCTCCTTTTTCTCTGGTTTCTTTGAGACTTCGGTCTGAAAACACATAATTTAACATTAAGGAAGTACAGTACATGTACGTAATTATATTGTTTATTCTTATTATCTTATTGAATAAATTGGATTACTTAAAAATCTAGGCAAAATATGAACGAGTCACAAAAACAACTTTTATTAAATAAAAATCATTGTTTTTTCGGCTGACTCACATAATAAATTGACGGGGAATTCGACTAGTTTGCAGTAGCAACTCAACAGATACCCGCGGCATGCTGCTCATTAATATGAGCCTTTAGCATGGCTTGAAACTAGTCGAGTTCCTCGTCAAATAATTACGTGATTAAACCGAAAACCATAATAGTTAATTTAATATGTCTCTCGAAAATTATAATACAAAAAAATATTTATTTTCATTGCAGCATGCGGAATACAAACCACCGATACGTGTTTCGCTCCTCCACAGAGCACCTTCCTTGCAGATATGTTTGCGTGTGCTGTGTTTTGTATTGTGTTCATGCTGCAGGTGCATTGACCTATGTTCGAGGGGGAGGGTGCTGCATGCACGCGCTCCAAATTCCACTTGAGCAGAATTAAAGTGGTGGTGACTGGGTTTTTCTAGTCGCATTAGTGTGAAGTAGCCCAGCGCTATAGTTTACATTTTTTTGCTACCTTCAGATTGCTGCTCATGAATGCTATCTAATAATTGCAGTACAAGTTATCCTTACCTGGTCTTCTAAAACTATCTTCTCCACTCTGCTAGACACCACTACCTCTTCAGTTTGCTCTGCGAGTATTTCTGTTAATTTCTCCTTCAAACATTCGAATAACGTATATGTCATTGCACATCCAAGCCACTGTTCTGCTTCTGCATTTACTATACTTAATATCTTTTCCTTGACAGACGGTAATCTGTGAATATTCATGATAATATTAATGTCATATGTTAATGCATTAATGGGTAACAACTTTTATAAAGGAATAAACCTTCAATTACAAGGCAACTGTTATAAGGTAACATTGTTCGATAAAAAGTTACTTATTTTTAATTTCATTTGAAAGTTGGGTACCAATCTGGACGTCACGATCCGAAATATCGTCCACCTTATCTACGATGCACTACCTATATAAATTTTACTGTCCTTACTAACCAATCCCCAAGCTGTCACCGGAGACCGCTCTTACTTCATTACAGACCTTATTTCCGGTGTTTAGAGACTACTTGTGTATGGACGAATTTTGGGAATTTTCGGTATGATATATCAAGTGATTGAGATTATATTTTTTGGCTGAATTCTTTGGTGTTACATTCTTCCCACATAAATGAACCAACTTAACAATCTAACCAAGTATTGTACAAACTGATTGAAACAGACAATCATGGAGTTTCTTGCTCTCCTTTGCCATGGGAATATACATATTGGAACATGCAAATAGGTGGACTAGAGTGTAAAGTTATGAATATACTTACAAACATTGATTATAGAAAATATCCAAATTAAAGCTCGGTTTATCAGTTGGGTATGTTGGGCCCCACTTTATTTCCAAAAGAAATGACTTCTCACCTTCAATATACTGAAACCATAAAATAAATAATGAAAATAAAGCTTTTTCTGTGTAATAACTACCATGAGACACATATATATATATTTCATATGTAGTGGTAGTTAGGTATTATCCAATTGCCGCATATGGCTTACTATCTTGAAGTAATGGATAAATGACAAGGAATGTCAAGTTTCTTTTAATAGTATGGATCAAAAATTGATGATTAGCAATTGGTGCCGCCCATGGATACCAGATCATCTTTTAAGGAATTTGGAGATGGGGCGAGGATAAAGCTGCACGGTTGGTGCGGTGGCTGGGCAACTGGCTGTCGCGTAATCTGTCGCGGGTTCGATTACCATATAGAGCAAGCTTTGTGTCATCCACAGATTGTTGCTCTAAGTCTGGGTGTCATGTGTATGTGAACTTGTGTGATCCACAGGTTGTTACTCTAGGTCTGGGTGTTATGTGAACTTATATGTTTCTAAACGCACCCACAACAGGAGAAAATTCTAGTGTGTTCAAAAAATGAAAATGAACATGAATAATTATGTAACCTAATTGTTTTTTTTTGATGGGCCGACATTTGACCACTATCTTGCCTGGTGGTAAGCAATGAAGCGGTATACGATGGAGCATGCCGTATTTATAAACTAACACTATCATCTATAAGTACATGTCACTTGTTTTTAGCATGTGAAATAAAGAATTTTCTTTCGTTCTTTCTTGCGTCTTGCTAATAAGTATAAATTGGAAACAAATTACTGATTTTCTTTTTATCTAAAGTGTAAATTACAATATTATATTAATTGAACTGACAAACTAACCTTATATTGATAGGTTGTGGCGTCAACTTGTTTGAAGTTTTCATCTCCTTCATATATTGATTTCAACACCTCAATTTCTTCAGTCTGCTGCTCTGCGTCATCAGACATGGTTTGTAATGTTGATTCCTAGAATAGTAACATTTCGCCTAATCAAACTTATGTCAGTTATCTTAACTACATGGTCATCCCAGTAATCCCTCCTAGTGACTACAAACAGTGTCACTTGCCTGTACAACAAAACCTGTGTGACTTTGTTTTCATGAACCTTGTATTACTGATTCGATACACTATGAAGATACCCAGGTTTTAAAGCAAGGTGACATTGTGAACCATTTAATTATATCATTTATTTGTTTAGTAGAATTTTTCTCGTCCAAACATAACCTCAAATCGACTTTTGTTATTCTGTTATAGCTAAAATTATTACCTGTATAATAGTAAAATGTTCTTTAAAAATACATCGAGCTTCTTAGATCTGTTCACTCCTATATCAGTACAGCTGATGTGGATAAACTCGAAATGAAAATGTATAGTAAAAGCGTTTTAAGCTTTCTATTAATAGAATACAATTGATATATTTTGTTGTCAAGATCTTTTAATATTACAGATTTGAGATTTCACTTTACACACGCATTTTGTAAGATTTCACGACTACAAAAAAATAATGAGGCAAAATAGCAGGCAGGCAGACGGCAATATAATATAATATTGACAGTTTGACACTGACAATTGACAGCAAAGCAGATTTTGGAATAATGGATTTTGACAATATTGGCATGTCAATGTCAAGTCAAACAGGAAGATGATATTAAGCATAGACAGAAAACTCTATAACAATAGAGATGTAACGATCTGAAATTATTTTAAATCAACATAAATCGGTTTCAAAGATTCATGCAATCCCACTTCAATTCAAACCAAACAGTTTGACTATTCAATCATGAAAATCAATGAGGATGCCACAGGTCGTTTATATAGCAACCCCTACAGTGTAAATACCATGCAAATAGTATGCCATATACCATATAGCACGGTTAGTAAAATGTAACGTAACCAAATAGTATTTGGTTGGTACTTAGTACTTGTCAAATAAATGTCGTGGTGACCCGGAGGCTTAAGATGCCCGCTTCTCATGCATGAGGGTGCGGGTTCGAAACCTACCAACGGCAAGTACCAATGTGACTTTTTCCGAGTTATATGTACTTTCTAAGATTATTCAGACACCTCACCACTGACAAACGGTGAAGGAAAACATCGTGAGGAAACCTGGGCTTATAATTTCTAATTATAAGTTTGTAATCGCCAATCCGCATTGAGCAAGCGTGGTAATTAATGCTCAAACCTTCTCCGTGTGAGAAGAGGCTTTGCTCAGCAGTGGGCATTTATAGGCTGTTGATGATGATGACTTAGTACTTACGAATACTATTTGGTTCAATAAATGTGTAATATAAATAAATGTGCAATATAAACAAACCGTATTTTAGACATGAAATCGTTTATTTTGTAGGTTTTTTCAATTCTGGAATATAAAATATAAACAATAATTACGATTCCTACCTGTTATAGCCAGTGTTCAAACGAAAACATAATTTTAATTTGATAATAATGTATTGAAAATGAAAATCACTTAATACTCTAAATACAATCAGAAGAGTTCAACTACGAATTGCTCTTTTGCATGTAGTATATAAACTTTTTCTCAGTTTTATTTACTCGAATTCCAATCTAGTACCTTTTAACAAAAAACGCTTCGCAAAACAAACTCAATTACAGCTGATGACTTTCATTGGTTGTCGTCAAATTTTAATGTGGGTAGTTCTTCAAATGGTCATCGTCGTGATTAAACAGATGAATAGATTATAAAATTCTATGAAAACCGGGTATAAATCGTAATGACGTATAAAATAGCGATGGCCCGAGTCTAATCAATGTGTCGGTGATGATAATAATAAATAATAAATAAATAAAATGTTTATTTAGTGTAAAATGCCAGATTACAAAATAAATCTTAATATCTAAACAAAGTTATGACTGATCATTGATTATTATAGCACGAATTGACTTAGTTCGGGACCCGGTTGTAGCTAAAATAAATCGAATCTAAATTATTAAACAGGAACATAATGGAATGATTTGGTTAGCTTAAGTAATGATTTCGTACTTTTTAAACTACCTAAGTACCTACTTTAAAATAAGTAGTGCATTATCAACATTTATCTAAATTCAACCAAACTACACTATACTACAACACATTAAACCGAAAACCATTCGTCGTTACTGACAGATTCTTAAAAAACCAGTGAAACTCGGTGTGCTCTCGAGTCGTGACTCGAAATATTAATCGGTTTGTCGTAACATCGTCGAAACGAAAAGTCGTAACATCACCACTAACTGTCAGTTTGTAAGTGATTGAAATAAACGTTACGTTAAAAGTTTGAACTCCAAAATAAAACTGATTTAACGAGGAAAGTGTGGTTTGTGATAATGAATATAAATAAGTGTAGCTGTAAAGAAAACCGTCCACCAACTGCTGGACGGTCTGGTTGTGGTTGTAATATAAATGCTCCAAAAATACCAATGGACAGTTTCAAAGTGCCAGCTGTCCCCGTTGGCCGACCTCTCGGTAAAGTAAACGAAAACAAGGAGCTCGGGAGTCAAGGTGCTGGCCCAGCTAAAAATGATGACAAGAAGAAATCATGGTCTCTCTCGGATTTTGACCTGGGTCGCCCTTTAGGTAAAGGAAAGTTTGGCAACGTCTATTTAGCACGTGAAAAAGAGTCTCACTACGTCGTTGCTCTTAAAGTACTATTCAAGAGCCAAATATTAGATTCTGAAATCGAACATCAAGTGCGGCGAGAAGTTGAAATACAATGCAGACTCCGTCACCCGAATATATTGCGTATGTATGGATATTTTCACGACGAAAAACGTATTTATTTAATTTTGGAATACGCTAAACATGGATCCATGTACAAATTGCTGAAAGAGCGCGAACGCTTCGATGAGAAAACTGTTGCAATTTACATTAGGGACTTGACTAAAGCACTTGTATATTGCCATGCTAAGAAAGTCATACATCGAGACATTAAACCGGAAAACTTACTTATTGGTCACAACTGGGAGTTGAAGATAGCCGACTTTGGTTGGTCAGTACATTCACCATCATCAAGGCGAATGACTCTGTGTGGTACATTAGACTACTTGTCACCAGAAATGATTGAGGGCAAGCCTCACAACTATGCTGTGGACATATGGAGCCTAGGAGTGCTCTGCTATGAATTGCTTGTTGGTTTACCTCCCTTTGATGCTAAAGACTCTCATCAAACATACAGGAAGATACGTTACGTCATTATCAAGTACCCAGACTTTATATCCGAGAAAGCAAAAGACTTAATGGGTAAATTATTAGTTATCAACCCAGAACAAAGACTGCCATTGATCAATGTATTACAGCATCCATGGATCACAGAAAATGCTCCAGAAGGAGCACAACCACCTGCCTTCAACCCTGAACAAAAACAACTATAATAATTAATAATTTTCTCGTACTGAGTTTCATAGATCTTATATAATTAAAATTAATTCAAAAATAATGTATGTACTATTTAGATAATTTTCAACATTAATTTTAGCATAATTTTTAAAATGTTTTAGATGACCGTTTTGAAGATGATAATTTTAAAATATACATCAAATTTTAGTTCATTTATTAATAATAACCAATTTCAAGAAAACAATTTTATTACAAATGCTACTTTAGCATGACTGAACAATATAGGTATTTATTGCATAAAGAAACAATCATGTTGGTAAATGTAAATAACTTGAATAAATATATTAAAACTTAATAGTCCTTTTTGTTTTTGTTTCTATAGTACAAGTGAAGAGCATACTTGTCAAAATTGGGATCTCTTTTTACAATGAAGTGCCAATGAGTTAATTCCCCAGCCAGGCAAAGGGCACTGAGAGTGTATCCGATGGCCAATGCAATGAAGGCACCATATAACTTTTTAAGATTCATTAAAGCTTTCAGCTCATCTTCATTTGTTTCTAGTGAGTGTATAGGGTGCATTACATCATTGAGCCATTTCTCAACAAGTCCGACTTCGACTACCCTCCACATGTAAACATCAGCCAGTGGCTTCAGGGGTGAGTTTTTGTGAAAACCAATAGATATTGGTATGTTAACTACACAGTCTGACATTATGTGCAGGTTTCGTTGGCTATCTATTTTAGGTGCGATGTCTGTTGTATTTGTCGAGTTCCCCTTTGAACCTTTCAAAGCATCTTTCCTAGTAACACTTATGTACTTAAGAAAATCAGAATTGGCGTAATATGCGTACACTCCTTGTGCCACTTTACTAGCAGCCTTCATAGGGTCGTCTATAGTTTCAAATTTATCTCCGATTTTCTGAGTGTTTTCGTCAAGAGATTCTTGAAAGAACTTTTTGGATTGCGTGCCCCAGCCGCCACAAGTGACTTTACTATCGACGAGCTCTCGGAGTGTGTCGATGGTTACCCTGGGTGCGGGGTTGGCGAGTATAGCAGTCATACTGGCTCTGTAGGACACCACCAGTAGTATGCAATAGAGCCAGTACCAGCCTGTTAAGAGCCTTATTGACCATCCCGTTGGTAGCCTTGGTAGAGATACGACAAGCAGCATTCCATAAGTATACAGGATGCTGTTTATTATTTCTCCAAACAGATAAAGTCCCGGCTTTGCATCTGCAAATAAGTACGTCTTTATTTAGCATGGTCTTGTAATGTTTTTTGAAGTACAGTCAGCAAAGTCACGGTAATATTTATGATATTATTAACGTGCCAAAAATCATCTGGTATGCAGGTAAGAAATTAAAGATTGAATTAGTATAGAGATAATAGGTAATTATTATTTTACTAAATCGTATGCTTATTAATGAAGCCATATGTATCTATTTCTTTACCTACTCTATAAATCAGCTCAGTAGCCAACCGGTGGTTACTGTCTTACACTTGTATATCTACCAATAGCTATAGCTATTACTGCTATTGACTGTACCTACATACTTATTACATTATTATTATGTGGTACGGTCAGCATCAAAAGTTGATGAACACATTTAGATTTTCAAAATCGCTGTACAGCGTTTTTACTGAATCGGTCAACGCCAGAAATAAATATTATGTCGGTCATGTCATTTAAGGTGATTGTCTTGTTAGCTTGTTTTGTTGCCGATTTAGATTTTACCTACGGTGCAAATATGTTTATCAACTTTTGATGCTGACCGTACCTTTATAGGTTTTTAAACTTTAAGAGAAGAACCTGCGTACCAATGCCTTCGTCGTCCTTAGTTTGTATTGGACGTAGTTTTTTGTATTCTTGCAGGTTCATGTGGTTTTTTGCTAAACCGTAGAAAATAGTCCCAGTTATTAATAACACTAGGAGAACTGCTATCCACATATACAATCTGAAAGTAGTCAATAAAAATGTAAGTAGGCATGTACTTAGGTAATTAGGCACTTACGTAGGTAACGTTAAGCAACGTGGAGGGCACTTAGTCAATGTAAAATACTTCTTAGGGTAGATAGGTAGGCACCTGCCACATAGGTATGTGGGGAGACATTCATTCACTTAAGGACAACTACTCGTAGGTATACTTTGGTAGGTACCTAACTACACATCACATCCAAACCCAGAACTACCTACAATTTGTGTACCTACCAGAAATATCTACTTGCATCGCGGACACACGGCTACACAACGAGAGATACATACTTACATAATTATACAAATTCGAAATAAAATAACTGTCGAATGTGCGAAAGATTATATAAAAAGCAAGACTACGGTAAATTGGTTTAAGGTATATTTTAGGTAGCTCGATGTGTAGTGTAGTGCGCCCACAAACCATAGGCCAAGTCAATATTGGGCAGCTGACTTTTTAGATGCGAAATTTGCGGTTTAAGCGTTACCACTAGAATTATGTATGTATTACAGGACTCTAGGGCTCTAACTAAGTTTATTGACCTTTAATCGCTTAGAACTTTGCAGGTGGTTACATTTTAATGCTCTTACTTGAACGGTAGAATTAACGTCTTCCAAGAATTGTCCGTTAAAGCTTCTGGTGTTAGAAATGTCCAACATTGTGACGTGTAAGGTATACTCAAGTCTGTCAGCTCCAGGTGATAAGGCGTATACTGCAGGTTCCCTAACGCCACATCTGCCCTTCCATTAACCATCTCGCCCAGAAGTCCAGAAAAAGAGCCATTAGGCTGTTTCTGGCCCCATTTGTGCAGTTCAGCGTTTATAGCCTGGTATGGTTTTGGTTTGAAGTTCATTTTTTCAGCTAATGTATGTAAGATCTGAAATGTAGGTAAATAACTTAACGTGTTGTATTAGTAGGTATCGTTGTCATCGTCAACAGCCGGAAGACGTCCACTGCTGGACAAAGGCCTCCCCCTTAGTCCTCCACGTCGAACGACAGCTCGCCACCTGCATCCACTGGCTCCCCGCAACTCTGTGCGATGTCGTAGGTCCACCTAGCAGGAGGCCTGCCCACGCTTCATCTTCTGGTATATTTGTACAAATAAAAAAATTGTTCCTGCTCGTACTAAATTTACCTACCTATGTACAATTAATAAGTAATTGTACTCAGGAGTCAGTACAGGACCACACAGCAGTTGCTACCTATAGCTGCTACAGTACCTACCTAATGTTAAACAATCTTCTGAAGAAACAATTATGTACCTACTCAACTATTACCTATAGGGATGCTTATAAAGACATTCAATAATCACCTCAACTTCGACACCGCCTATTTTATTACTTCCATTGTTTTTAACTACCACAACAGACGGTACGTGGTCCAAATAAACAACGTTCAACACTTCACCATTCAAGTTGCTAGTTTTGTCTGCAAACAGAGGCCTCTTGTAGTAAAAATTCTCGTTTTTCCAAATATCCACTCGTCTTGGAACAAAAACCCCTTTTATCGGATTTGGAAATGGCACTGTAGAGAGCTCGAACCAAGGCCGACTTTTGGACACACCCAAAATCTTTTTGTGGTATTTTACGAATATAATGTTGACTATTCTGCGCCATATGTAGTGAAGCTCGCTGCGAAATAGTCGGAAGTCGTGTAACATGATGTATTTAGCTCTAGTGTCGAGAATGCGATGCCTGCAAAAATTGATATGAATAGAGTTACAGTTAGGTATAATGTAGGTACCTATACAGAGTTTGCAACAGTCACATGCAAAATTGGGATGATGACAGGGTATGAAAGTTAAAAATCTAATTAAGTAGTCCGTAAGTTAGGCAATTAAAAAATATTAGACACGTATTTTTTACGTATAATAAAACAATACTTAGATTAAACGAATCAAAGTTTAGGAGGGGGGCTAAAACGTCATTTCTACGTATAAAATGTACATAGAAGTGATGTCACGCGACATTTCAAATCAATATATCGTCGAAAGTATTTGTTTCTGTAAGAAAATAAAAAATACGTGTCTAATGATTTAAAATAATCTACCAGACGGACATTAAATAAATATTAAGAATCTACCCTATTACATTGGTTATTATTTTAGTTTATCGAAGAAGGTATGTAAAGCTTTACATAGAGAGGAGTGGAAGGAGGGTAGGGCAGCCTTTGCCCTGCAGTGGGACGATCATGGCTGAAAATAAATAAATATATAAGAAGGTAGATAGTTCCTGGATTACCACGTTTACATCGCTCCTCACCTGTCTCCAAACCGTAACAAACGGGAAGCTTGCAGGCCATTAGCAAGTAATATGACGTATACGTTGCACCCTTCTTTTCTAGCAGCTCTCAATGATTCTAATGTAACGAAGTTTGGAGACAACAAGTCCTCGTAATCCTCTACAACAGTCTGAAAGCAAAATATTAAGAAGTACGTACGGTCAGCATCAAAAGTCGATGAACACATTTAGATTTTCAAAGTAGCTTGTACAGCGTATTAGGTATGCCTAAACCGGCGAACATGACGAGCACTTTAAATGCAACACAACACAAGATTTATTTATTCCTGCCGTTTGTCTTGTTGAATGATTTAGGTAATACGCTGTACCTACAAGTGATTTTGTAAATCTGAATGTGTTCATCAATTAACTAAAAATCGCGGGTTACTCACGTGAATATACCTACTGAGAAAAGCTTTACTAGTTTTAGTGTGTTTATCAACTTTTAATGATGACCGTGATGAATGAAGCTACATAACATGCTCCCATCAAGCGGAAATGAAGTGCAATTGTTTAAAACACAGTCCTTTCTAATATTATAAATCGGAAAGTGAGTTTGTTTGTTTGTTTGTTTGTTCCACTTTCACGCCGTAACTACTAAACCGATTGCATTGAATTTTTGCAGACGTAAAGTAAATTAGTCTGGATTAAATAATAGGGTACTTTTTATCCCGAAAAAATTTAATATTCCCGAGGGAAAACAAAAGTACCTATTGGTATAGATGGCGCTGTATGTATTGGTATATGTCACATATAGGCTACTTTCTATCCTTTTGTGACGCGAGCGAAGCCGCGGGTAAAAGCTAGTATATTATATTATGGATGGAGCAATGTATTTACATTGCCCCAAAATTTATCAGACAGGTACGGCGTAGGTTTAGTAATTTAAAAGATAAATAGAGAGTCCTTTGATTTAACGCTATGCGTAAGTAGATAATTCCCGTGACATTTTGGGGCTAAAAACTATTCATACTTACCATGACGTAAGGTACCGACGCAGTCCTTTTAAACAATGGCCCACCGAACACGTTCAGATAGACTTCATCACAGATAATAGCGATGCAGGTCACCTCATAGTCCCTCGTCAGAACATTCAGGAGGTCTATTAGGACAAATTCTAGGTCTCTTCGTTCATGCAAGTCTTTTATAATGGGAAACGATTCGACTTGTAATCTGGAATTATACCTAATAAGAATAAGCAGTTTTACTCGACTGTAGGAATGGTACTTATTGTTTTTCGCGCCTTGTATTTATCTTGCTTGTACATACAAGCATACATACTCATACATACATATGTATGAGTGTAATAATTAGAGATGCACCGAATATTCGGTTACTTTCCGGTATCCGGCTTATGCGGCAGTTATTGACTATCCGGCCAGATACCGGATGGTAAAGTACTATCCGGCCGGATACCGGATAGTAAACTTGGTAGATTTTATAAATGAAATCTAAATAAAGGTGCAGTTGTAATTGAATCTTTTTAATATTTTAAATAATTTTAACTTTTTATTAGTTTTTATAATAACAAGTAAAAACCTGCACGGCGAGCGGCGTGGCGGTACGCGACACGCACCTTCGAAACTCAAAATGTAGGTATCACACTGTCGGCCGGATACCGAGTATTCGGCTGGTTGGTGGTCAGGCCGAATATCCGGTATCCGGCCAAACAACTATTCGTTGCATCTCTAATAATAATATTCTAATTACTAGTTGAACCGGCAAACTTCGTAACGCCTAAATGATTTTTTCATCTTTTACACTTTCTACGTACGTATTTCTTTTATGTATGTATATTTTTTTAATGGGGGAAAATCATCCAATGGTTGCTCCCGCCTGGGTGAGGCGGGAGGGAGTATCAGACTCTTACTGACTAAAAAGCACCATGTTTCTTCTCCTGTACGTCGAGCCGGAGCCCCGGTAACCCGTTAGGTTCTCCGCGACTTTTTATCTATATAGATTACATCGTTTATTCTAAATCACCCAACCGATTCATACATGACACATCGTTAGATAGGTACGTCTTGATAACCCGTTTCCAGATAATTGGACATTAAAATAATTACTTTATACCGGCTTCAACCCCTTCTTTTTTTGAAGTCGGTTCAAATATACTAAAACCTTCTCCTAAATGTAAGAAATACTTTTCTGAAAACCGCATCAAAATCGGTTCAGCCAACCGCGATATAATCAGAAATTTATTATTTTCAAATATTGCAGTATGCCAATATGGGTATCAAATTAAAGAACTCATCGAGAGAATTTTGAAAAGGTACCTATATCATGTCTATAATTGAAAACCATACGCTATATACCTACATATACTTTGATAATTTTATATATACGCACTCCAAAGTGATAATACCTACAGTAAAAATAATTCATTGTCACTTTGAATGTGCTCTGAAAAAGTTTAAAATAAATTAATTATAAAGTTGGGTTCAGAAGCACAGAAAGTAATTTATTACAGACTTCAAAAAAGGATGTACATAATATGTTCGACTGATTGGTTTTTTAAATTAAAACAACTTTAATAATCGGGGCCCATATACTTATCAAAGACAGGAATACCTATTTGGGTCATGGGTCCCGGCTGTTAACATTATTTTAATTCAATTACTTTCTATGTTAGTAAACCGAATTTATTTGGTTATTTATAGTTTTTTAAGTTGAGTTTATTATAGTTGTTTCTTAGTTTTTAAATTAATTATTACTTACGTGGAAGTTATAACAAAAATAATAAGTATTCGTAACATGATTTAAAACTTTAATAACACACATTGAGCTTGGATAACAAGTAAAGAATGGTAAGATTAACCGGGAAAATGGAACATTTCATTAGCTTACAGACAGACAGTGTGATTGACATGCTGATTATATATTTAAAACGTAATCAAAGAACCCTATTTTGTTTTCTCATTACAAATTCAATTTACCTACCCTACTTGTGTAGCTTCTTGAACTGAGTGACCTTTAGGTACATTTAAAGAGAATTGTATTTCGTGCAGTGTAAAATCGAGTTTAGTTCATTCAAAGTCAAAATCAAAGCATTTATTTCAATTAAACCATAATTTAGTACTTTTGAAATGTCAACAAAACCTTACTTTTATATTATAAATGGGAAAGTGAGTTCGTTTGTTCCACTTTCACGCCGTGTAACCGGGGCTCCGGCTCGACGTGCAGGAGAAGGAACGGGGTGGTGTTTAGTCAGTAAGAGTCTGACACTCCCTCCCGCCTCACCCAGGTGGGAGCAGTCACTCGATGATTTTCCCCCCTTAAAAAAAACTACTAAACCGATTACTTTGAATTTTTGCAGACGTAAAGTTAGAAGTCCTAATTAAATAATAGGGTACTTTTTATCCCGGAAAAAATGATATTCCCGAGGGAAAACAAAAGTATTGGTATAGATGGCGCTGTATGTATTGGTATATGTCACATAGGCTACTTTTTATCCTTTTGTGACGCGAGCGAAGCCGCGGGTAAAAGCTAGTACAAAATAAATAATAGTCTGTCAGTCAGTCTGTCAGTGAAGCTAGGTGTTCATTCCAAAATGTAGATTCGAATGGAGAAGAACGAGCATAAACCTCCATGCGTTACTCTTTAAAAAAAAATAGTTTTACAATGTCTCTGATACATATTAATTTATTCAATTGAAACTATAGTTAGGGTCTACTTAGTGGAGTATATGAAACTAGCTTCGCCCGCGTTCTCGTTGTTTGATTGTTATACATAACTGCCTGTTATAATGCTTAAATTCAAATATAACGCACATAAATAAAACATATTTTATTTTCAAGTATATTATATTTATTTAAAAATCCCTGTATAAAAATATATCTCCACCATTTAAAAATAATATAAAGTTCTATCTTATTAACTAAAGAGTAAAAATATTAAAAAATATTATTATTTATATTCATTACGCGCATTTATTATGACAATAGAATTGTTTAAGACAACTTACAAACTAAATTACTTTTAATTGCTGCGTAATTTTAGAGTTTAATATTGAATGATTTGTGGAACGAATTATGGTACTATTATGCACATATAAAATTGAACTTTCTTGCATTGATTTATAGTTGAATATTGGATACTTTCGTTGAACATGATGAGCGTTTGTGAGGTAAATATAAGCGTTGTTTTAGGGATCACAGTTCCTCATGCACTGACTATACATAAAACGCGTCGGTTGGAAACCAAGAAACAAACATATCAAAAGAATAACATAACATAACATCACACCTTTTATCCCCGAAGGGATAGGCAGAGGTGCACATTATGCCACTGTACAATGTAACACCCACTTTTCACTATTTATGTTATGAGTCCCATGTAATAGGGGGTGAGCCTATTGCCATATACCGGGCACAATGCCAGACCCTGTGCTACTACTGAGATTTTTTTTAAAACTCAGTTGTACTTTGCCCGTCCCCGTAATCGAACCCGAGACCCCTTGCCCGGCAGTCGCACTTGCGACCAACCGGCCAACGAGGCAGTCAAAAGAATGTTATTTCGATATTGTATTTCGTGGTACAGCAACATATCATATATCACATTTTTAAAAGCATTTGTAGAATTTAATGAACAAAAGACTTAGATACATAAGTAATCTTCCTTCAAAAATCCTTAGACAAAGTTTTTTTTTTAAATAACGCCCCTTTTGCGTCGTTTTTTAGAACATTTCTGAACAGCAGCTGTAGCTAAATGCCATTTAGCGCTTGTCTAGATGTAGAATAGAAAACCAAATTATATTATTATGGAATTAACGTAAATTTTGACACTTGTCAGTGTCATCCCCATACATTTTGATTTCTACTTTCACTGTAGACAAGCGCTAAAGTGGCGTTTGGCTAAAGGTATATGGCATGGTATCGAAAAATCAGCCTTATTAAAACTGCGGCAAACAAAGTTTTGTTTGACAAATTATTCTGAACATCATATTATTATGATCATAAAGATTTTACATCAAAAATGTAATTCCTACAAAATTATGTTTTTACATTATTATATAACTTACACCAAAATTACAATTAATAAAAAAAAATGTGACTGAATTTATTATGCACAGTTGATTCTTGTCTTTATTGTTTAGAGTATAGGGTAGATTACAGCTTGGAGGGTGCGTACGACTGCCAGTACACCACGTCGCGCCACCACTCGGGCCGGGTCATTGACCCCGGGTACGTCATCACACTGGACTGGAGGTGTTTGTACGCCTGGAATGTACGAACACATGTGATGTAAACATATTTAGACATTCACCAAACGTGGTTGCTCTGTAAGTAAATATTGTGATGTATCACAATTATGATGTAGGACTAATAATTTTAGTCCGACCAAGGTATTGAACCCGAGTATTGAAACCTAATATCCTGGCCCGTGAATGGGCCGGCTCGACCGGAGTGATACCAACCACTGCGTCAAAGAAAATCGGCTTGAAAAAACCGACGCGTTTTGATTCTCCGACGATATCGTGGTGGCTCGGAGGTTACACCCGCTTCTCATGCATGAGGGTGCGGGTTCGAAACCTACCAACCGCTAGAACCAATGTGACTTTTTCCGAGTTATATGTACTTTCTAAGATTATCTAAACACCATCTACAAACGGTGAAGGAAAACATCGTGAGATAACCTGGAGTTATAATTTCTAATTATAAGTTTGTAATCGTCAACCTGCATTGAGCAAGCGTGGTAATTAATGCTCAAACGTTCACCGTGTGAGAAGAGGCTTTGCTCAGAAATAGGAATTTATAGGCAACAGCCTATCAACTATCAATTGATTTTGATTCTCCGCGAGAGTGAGGTTACTGCAGGCCCAATCCTCTTTCCTCAAATCCTCGAACTCGAATCCCTAACTCCCCAAAAGGCCAGCAACATGCGTGTAACTCCTCTACCTGCTTACCATCAGGTGATCCGTCTGTTCGTTAGCTTATGTCATTAAAACTGCAAAAACAACTTACTTCTCCGTCAGACATTCCTAGTATGGACTTGATGCAGAAGTCTGGCGGCGCCAGGGAGTCGACGAGCGCGATGGCCTCGGGACTGAGCGCGGCACACAACTGGAGGATACCGTCGCGGAGGTACAAGCCTTGCTCTCCACACAGGTAACCGCCCTGGAAATATACAAAATTACATACATACATAACATCACGACTTTTATCCCCGAAGGTGTAGGCGGAGGTGTACATTATGCCACTGTACAATGTAACACCCACTTTCCACTATTTATGTTATGAGTCCCATGTAATAGGGGGTGAGCCTATTGCCATATACCGGTCACAATTTCAGACTCCGTGCTACTACTGAGAATTTTTTAAAAACCCAGTAATACTTTGCCCGACCCGGGAATCGAACCCGAGACCCCTTGCCCGGCAGTCGCACTTACGACCACTCGGTCAACGAGGCAGTCTGTGATTGATGAAAATGAACAAAACATAAAATATTATCTTAACTCTTTGAGTACCGTCATTATAGACACAATTAAAGAACAATAGGTTGCGGTCACTGGTGTCCTCGCGGTGTTTGACAGTTTAATAAGCGATGTAGGCCTTATACAGTTAGATGCCTGAACTAGGAAAGCCCTGTATCACAGGCGAATGTAACTTTAACATTGTATACTAATTTGGTACATCTTATTTACTCACACCCCTTAAAAAAACCCCCTTCGGGGACAAAAGGCGTGATGTCATATTAAGTTACAGGGCTCGACAGATCATAGACGCAAGAAATGATATAAAATTAAAATAATTATAAAATTAATAACAAAGCTAAAACAGCTTGTTTTCTCTTAGAATTAGATCATCATCAAGAGCCTATAAATGCCCACTGCTGAGCAAAGCCTCTTCTCACACGGAGAAGGTTAGAGCATTAATCACCACGCTTGCTCAATGCGGGTTGGCGATTTCAAACTTATAATTAGAAATTATAAGTCCAGGTTTCTTCACGATGTTTTGTCAGTGGTGCCTAAATAATCTTAGAAAGTACATATAACTCGGAAAAAGTCACATTGGTACCTGCCGTTGGTAGGTTTCGAACCCGCACCCTCATGCATGAGAAGTGGGCGTCTTAAACCTCCGGGCCACCACGACATTTTAAAATTAGATGAAATGAAATAAAAATAATTTGGTGTGTCTATGGTTACATATACCTACTGTAGATCAGGGCTGTCCAAACAAAGACCCGCGAGCCGCACGTGGCCCGCGGCTTGTTTTCATATGGCCCGCGACACACATTTTAATCTCAACATAATCTTACATAATCTTACGTGCAACAACAATAACAAAATCCAGTGTATGATTTGTATACAAGTTTTGTCTGTGAGTAAAGAATACAATGTTAAAAGTCATTATAGAGGTACAACTGAAAATATTTCTTGTGGCCCAGCTTTTGAAAATATTTCCAGCTTTTGTAAAAAAAATAATTAGCCCGCGAGATAAGACTTACAATGTAGAGCGTCGCCAAGTGTTTCTCCAAGAGGAAGGCTCCATACAGAGCGACCAGTTTGAGTAGCACGGCGCGACACTGAGCGTCCTCAAACTCCTGCGCAGCTTTATAGAAGTTGTTCAGTACGTAGTTCTGCAAATAAAATATTATCTTACACTTATTACTATTATCCAAAGCTAAAGATTTTGTTTGTTTCTTTGAACGCGCTAACCTCAAGCACTACTGGTCCGATTTATAAAAATATTTTTGTGTTGGATACTGCATTTATCGAGGAAGGCTATAGGCTATAAAACATCACGCTACGACTAAGCAGGAGCCGAGCAGAGTCGGTGAAACCGCGTGGAAGTACCATATTTAACATTTTTTTTTGTTTTTTTTAACGTTGCCCCACACTATAGGATTTTCTCCTGTGTCGTGGGTGCGTTTACAAACATACAAGTTCACATACACAATGGCACCCAGACCCGAAACAACAATTTGTGGATCACACAAAGTGTTGTCCCGTGCGGGAATCGAACCCGCGACACGTTGCACGACAGCCGGTTGCCCAGCCACCGCACCAACCGTGCAGTCAAAACATATATAATAATAATAACTATCTATTTAAAGAAGTATGTACTGATAGAGACAATTTTGAGTTACGTTTGTCAAGTTTGATGTTACAATTAGATACTTTCCTTAATCAAAAATAAATTATATCGACTGTTCAATACAATAAAATATTAAAAACAATAACAATTTCTTTAACTGATTTTACAACCAACATAATTTTAGTATTTTTTCACCACAATTAAGAAATGAGTATGTCGTTTGACACTTAAAAACCGTGACGTCACATACACAATCTCGAAAATCCATAGAAAACTGTTGTTTTTGACAGTTCGAAAAAAGTATTGAATTTGACTAGTTGGCAAGTACCCTAATTTGAAAGTATGTATGTACAGTCAAAGGTCAAAAGTCCACTGCCACCGTGAGTGATGTTCACACGGCAATGCGTAAGTAATTTCATATTAATATGCATAAACACGCGTGCGTACGCATGAACACGCACGCGTACGTACACGGTAAAAATATGCGAGCGCATGGGTGTATAAGCGCTGCAGCGCAACCGATAGTAGTCTCAACCGATAGTAGCCTTTGACCGTACATACTATTATATTATACATTGACTACACGATTGGCTATAGCCTGTGCAACTGGCTGATAAGCAATGTGCCGCGGGTTCGATACAGGCATGTATCAACTCTGTAAGATCCACAAATTATTAGTCGGGGTTTGGGTGTGATGTGTCACTTCTCACGACTTAGGAGAAAATCCTAGGTAGAATGAGACGTTTTTCTAATTTACCCTCCCCTTCCTCAAACTCTTAATCCCCAAAAGGCCGGTAAAGCACTTGTAACGCCTCTGGTGTTCCAGGTGTCCATGGGCGACGCCTATTGCTTACTATCAGGGGATCCGACCGCACGATTATTGCCATAAAAGAAATTGAAAAAATTATACCTCTCCGTAGACAACAGACAGAGTGACCGCATTGTAGGATTGCGATTCATTCTTGGCTGAGAAGTTGTCTTTGCCCTGGCCCTTCAGTAGCGCCACCTTCTCCGCCGTCATCTTCAGCGTGAACGCCGTCAGCCATTTGTATGCGTGGATCAAATCTGGAAGAGAAATAAAATATGATTATTTTTAATCTATATAAATAAAAATAAATATCCGTTCGTTAGTCTCGCTATAACTCGGGAACAGCTGAACCGATTTGGATATTTTTGGTCTTGAAATGTATGTGAAAGTTCAAGGAAGGTCTAAAAGGCGAGAAAAAATGTTTGAGGCGATACGAAGTTCGCCGGTACAGCTAGTTAGCTTTATTTATAACTCTCGAGCGGTTTCACCCACTCTGCTCAGGTTCTATAGATCGTAGCTCTTCAACTAGATAAGTAAAAAAAAAGTTATGTATTTCAATTAATCATTAAAAAAGTGTTGGAATGTCAAAATTGATAAGTCTGTCAGTCTGATTCATCATCATTGGTCCATGAGCGATGCCGATTGCTTACCACTAATGCCGGAATACTGAAACGTTACTTAATTTGAAGTCATGCTTAAAAATATCGTGCCATCTCTGTCATTTTACAAAGAAGTAGTAAAGACAGAACTATACTTAAGCGTGACTTAAAATGAGTAACGTTTCAGTATTCGGGCGTAAGTGATCCATTTGCTTATTTATAAATTATAATGTGACTTACTAGCTGGTTCCATGAATTCCTGGACACTCTTCCAGGGGCATTTCTCCTGGAGTAGCTGGTCCACGTTGTGTAGGAAGTGGAGTGAGCCGAGGGGAGAGTCTTCGGGCGTGAGTCCCCCCCTCCTCCCCCAGACGTTGAGCAGCCAGTTGCTGGCCTGCTGCAGCAGGAGGCTGTTCTCCCCCTCGTACGTGCAGTTGGCGTCGTTGTCATTGCGCAGGTCGCCGATAGCTGCCGCTGTTACAGTAATACTTCAATGGAATCTGATCTCTACTTGTAATGGCGAAAATCATAAACACTCAATTCTATAATATTTGAAGGTAACAAAAAATTTAATAAACCAATATTAGCTCGTTTCAATGTGTATAATGACCAAGAAAAGTATTCAAAACTGGGCAAACGATTAATTCACTTTTCGCAAGACATGCAATGGCTTTGGGCAAGATATCAAGCTATACAAACTCCTTATTAGGTACGTATTCGTTGTTGAGATACTTTGTATGATTTTACGCCGTGTGGTGACGTCAGAGTTAAATACTGCTAGTGACGTAAGTCGACTAACGCCACAATACTGAAAGGCTTCTCAATTGAGTACTTTCCTTAATCAAAAACAAATTAATTTGACTGTTCTATACAATAAAATATTTAAAAATAATCACACTTTCATTATCTGTTTTTATGAACAACTTAATTTTAGTATTTTTCCCGATTTTTTTAAAGAAATAAGTGTGCTGTTTGACGTGAAAAAAATGTGACGTCACAATACACAATCTCGTACAAAACTCATAGAAAACTATCGCTTTTACAGTTCGGAAAAAGTATTAAATTTGACTAGTTGACAAGTAAGTACCCAATTTTATAAGTTGTACTTAAATATCATTTTACAAAGAATTTGTAGTGACAGAATTATAATTAAGCGAGACTTAAATTTGAGTATCCTTTCAGTTTTCGGATGTAAGATACTATACAATGGGGCTACTGTATTTTACCTCACCAGGTGGCGCTAGTGCGCTTCTGGTATTTCGTCCAATAGGGAACTATCTAGGGTCACATCATTCGACGTTCAGTACTTGACAGTTGTATGGATTAGACAAAAACATCTGCTGCCCAGAAAAATGGTAACCGCATTGACAAAGACTAGCAGCGTTCATAGATAAACCGGAACCTTTTATACCACTATTTTTTATCTGTTGCCTAACATAGAGATTAGAGATACCACAGATTTTTCTAGTGTGGGTTCCTGGTTGCACACATTTTAATACTGTTGGGTTGTTGTAATATAAATATTTAATTTAAAAATGATATTATTGTGTATGTGAACTTGTATGTTTGTAAAAGCACCCACGACACAGGAGAAAATCTTAGCGTGGGGCAACGTTTTTTAATAAAAAAAATTGTATAATGTAATGTAAGCCTGGTATAAAACCTAATTCTAAGTTTCTGTTATATGGTGGACATAAAAAATATTATTATTAAAAAAGAGATTGGGACTAGCCCCTCTTATGTAGAGGAGGCCCTTAGTCCCTCGGTTTGTTGATGTGATTATAAATGTTACCTTTCAAGTATCCATGTCCCCCGCAGGCCTCCCTACAGTTCTGTATGCCATCCCTCGAGGTCCAACCGAACAATGGCTTCACAGCCGACGACAGCGCGTGCAACTCTATACCGCGGGCCGCCGCCTGAGGGTCCTCACCTACTCGACACACGTGATGATAAATAATTATAATTAATAAGTTTATGAGTGCAAGTACCTATAAGTGTATCCTATGGCAAACCTAGGTGACATGTATGATAGGTAACTCCTAACTTACCGACAAAGCTGTTAATAGTCATGTTGATGTGCAGACAACTGAGCCACACGGAGAATATCTTCATAGCATACGTGGCTGCCAAGTACGGCAGGAGACGGATTTGCTAGAAAATTTAATTAAATCATTTACATTTTGTACAATTTTTTTGTACCACTGTAATATATCTTCATTTGAAGGAGTGAAAGAGAGAGAGAGAGAGAGAGAGAGAGGGAGAGAGAGAGCGAAGAGAGAGAGAGAGAGAGAGAGAGAGAGAGAGAGAGAGAGAGAAAGAGAGAGAGAGAGAGAGAGAGAGAGAGAGAGAGAGAGAGAGAGAGAGAGAAAGAGAGAGAGAGAGAGAGCGAGAGAAGGGGAAATGAGGAAGGGAGAGGGGTAAAGAAAATGTTCTTAAGTAACTTATTGTTACACTTTGATATATTGTATATGAGAATAAGTACCAAGTTTCATTAATACATTAAAATTATACATAACGGTTATTACTGATTCTACTATGTTATGGATTTATTACACATACATATAAACCATACATAATGACGAACAGAAAAGACGACTTCGTTTTATATTACGTAGTGATCCTTACTTGTTGCTGGTATTCTAAGACTGGCGTCTCCTCTTGAGCATTCTCAGGGCCAAACTGCTTCCTCACTGCTGAATACCTGATGGCTATGACGATAGCCTTCTGCAGGTAGTACGTGGATATAGCAGTGATGTGGACTCGCCCGCCTGGAACAGTCCAAATATAAAGTTTTATTTATTAATATAAGATGACTGCCTCGTTTGCCGAGTGGTCGCAAGTGCGGCAAGGGGTCGCGGGTTCGATTCCCGGGTCGGGCAAAGTATTACTGGGTTATTTCAAAAAATCTCAGTAGTAGCACGGAGTCTAGAAATGTGCCCGGTATATGGCAATAGGCTCACCCCCTATTACATGGAACTCATAACATAAATAGTGAAAAGTGGGTGTTACATTGCACAGTCTATGTTATAAAGTTAGAAGCTCTGCCTCCGTTCTCGTGGGATAAGAATAGCCTGTGTTATTTCAGACCATAACTTATAGCCGCGGAGGACTTAACGGGTTACCAGGGCTCCGGCTCAAAGTGCAGGAGTAGGAACGGGGTGGTTTTAGTCAGTAAGAGTCTGAGACTCCCTCTTGACTCAGCCGGGCGGGAGAAGCCATTGCATGATGTTTCCGTTTGAGTATTTCGATATGAATATCTAACAATTGCTGAAGATCATGCAGTAGAATGATAGATTGCAATAAATTCAGGAAAAAGAAATATGTATAGTGTAGCATTTAACATAATTTTATTATGATAGTAAGCAATGATGAGTACATAATGCTTTAACATAGGACTTTGTACCACGCACATTTATAAAGCGTTTATCGTTGATGACATATTATTGTCATAAAAAATGTAGGTAAAATTACTTTGATTGATATTATTAGCATTGTAACTTAGCATATAAAAGTGTCGTGTTTCACACCACACACATTATTATTGACAATGCTTATTAGACTGATGTAATATATCCCAAAATGCTCATAAAAATGTGCTTTGGCGCCAAATCTATTTATTTTACAAAAGAGCTATCTAGACATATATCATTCATTTCATTTCATTTTACATAAAATTGTAGAATATTATGAGTAGTTTAATTTTGTGGACAACGTTTTCCTCGTAAAAAGTAAAGGAAAAGATAGGTATTGTAAGAAATTCAGTACAGAGACAAAGGACAGGAGCCTTATTACAATTCGCCAATCCCTTTAATTGTGTAAGTGAGGTTACTGGAGGCCCAGTTAACCCCTTCCTCAAACTCCCCAATCCACTAATAATGCTCAAATTCCTAACCAAAATGCAGGCAACGCACTTGTAACGCCTCTGGTGTTCATGGGTAGCGCCGATTGCTTACCATCAGGTGATCTATAGGCTTGTTAACCGGATTATCCAAAAAAAACACCATACAACTGTCAGGTTACCTGATAGGATTCCAAGGGCCGCTCCGAACCTCTTGTTAGGGTCTCTGAAAGGTGTCTTGTAATCCCCATTGTCGTCTACTCCACCCAACTTGTCCAACGCCGCCTCCTTGGGCAGGTGGTAGTTATTGAACATGACGAAACTAGAACAAGATTTTAATTAAAATTTAATACTGATTCAAGTTTGTCCGTCAATCGTTCAAACTACTGAATGGATTTTGATGATTTCGGTATATAGGGAGACTGACTTAAAGGATACTTTTTATCTCAGTTAAATGCTCCCATTGGATAAAACAGGAATACGCGGGCAAAATCGCGGGTAAAAGCTAGATTATGTAAACCGACGTGAAGAACGCTTGCGTTGTGTTTTATCGTGTGAGTGAGGTTACCGGAGCCCCAATTACCCCCTCCCTGAATCCCCAACAATCCTTGGACTCCTAATCCCCAAAAGACCGGTAACGCACTTGTAACGCCTCTGGTGTTCCAGGTGTCCATGGGCGACGCCGATTGCTTACCATCAGGTGATTCGTCTGCTCGTTTACCGGCTTATGCCATAAAAAATATAATATTAGCAAGATATGATAAACTGTACATACCCATTGTCGACTCCATTGAGGCCGATTTTCTCGCCGAGGTCTCCCACAATGACTCCAGGGTAAGGTTTCAAGGTTTTGGGGTCTCTGATAGGTACGACGAAAGTATGGAGACCATGGTTCTTCCCTTTAGATATCAACATGGCGTAAACAATTGCGTGGGTTGCACATTTTCCTGAAATTAAAAAAAAAAATTGATACAAGTGAGAGCTGCGCGACGTCGCCGCGACCGCGCACGCTGCTCATGAACCCCTCTGTAGTTCGAAACTAGTAGAGCTTTTCTCAGTATATTCACGTGAGTAACCCGCGTTGTTAATTAATACAAGTACTAGTTAAAGAGTATGATATTATTATTACATATACCGCGAAAACAAAAAAACATCGGAACGGCGGGTTGTCAGCTCGCGTACTTATAGCCCCCGCCCCGCCGTTGGCTTTACCAAAGCCACAAAAGCCGTGCAGCCATCCCGTGACCATGCCGGAACAGTGGAATTTCGGTCACATTATCATCAATAGAATAGAATAGAATTCTATTCTATTATCATCAATGTTAGTAATATCACGATAATATCTTGCAAGTTTAGATTTATTTAGCACGAAGGTATACCCTGCGTCAGATCTAACATGTGGATTAAAAATCATTCATGAATCTATTTTTTACGTTGATTTGTAGTAACAACACAGTAGTATGTAATGTATTAACTTATTTTTAAATAAGTGGCGTACACAATATATTTAGTACAGTTATTTATAGACTATTAGATATTTAAACAAATGTAAATAACCCTTTGTGTTCGCGTTTCTTCTAATAGAATCAAAAGCATCAATAGATTGTTTATAAGCTAATGAAATAAATAGGTAAACATGAACGATTATCCAGGCATTTATTCGAGCATACCACTTATATGGAATTAATTGTATTCAATGCACTGGTCGCCATAAGCCGTTGTTAAATATCTAGATTATTTTTTATGTTCAAGTGTTCCCGGCACTTGCTTCGGTACTAATGCGTCGGCTCGACTGGAGTGATACCACATCCTCACAGAAAACCGACGTGAAGCAACGCTTGCGTTGTGTTTCGTCGTGTGAGTGAGGTTACCGGAGACCCTATTATATCCCTCCCCTTTCCACAATCTCTCCAATCCCTGAATACCCAACAATCTTCAAATTCCTAATCTCCAATAAGCCGGTAACGCACTTATGGCCTCTGGTGTTCCAGGAATCCATGGCCGACGCCGATTGCTTACCATCAGGTGATACGTCTTCTCGTTTACCGGCTTATCTCATAAGAAAAATAATGTTTGTTCGGCGATAATTATAATCATTGGTCCACGCTATTATTTTCCCCTATACGACACGTTGTATATACTAACACAATTTTATATACACAATTCACTCAGACACACAACAATTTCTTATTCAATCAAGTCAAGCTATTATCATGGACTCACCTAGCGACCCGACCCAGCACTTTGCAGCCTCGAAGTCAGCACTGTGCATGACAAACTGTCTCTTCTCAGGAATGTAAGTGGCCGTGGTCCTCATTCCTTTGGCATTGGACCCATGTGATACCTCAGTTAGAGCGAAACAACCTCCAATCTTGGCTTTCTCCACGTCTTCGATGATGGGGTAGTGGTGGCTCTTTCCATTACCCTGGATAGCATTGCTGAACATCCTGAAAGTTAGGGAGACTTTCACGGCGAGGGAACTGTCGAACATGAACAATGCTTCGCTTTCAGCTTGGAATGTCTTCGGGTCCTCGGCGATCTGAAACATTTTTGTCTTGAAATATTTTGGTATGTCATGATTGTCTCGTAAGAGATGTAATAAAATGAGATGACAAGATATGGAGTATGGACACAAGTCCACACATCTCTAATATTAACAAACGTGCAGTAATAATAATATTTTTTTAAATAATTTAAATAAATATGCGCGAGAACCTCGTTGCCTATTTCATGAGACACAAAACATGAAAACATAATAGTGATTTAAATGATACGGCTTTTTCTGATGTCTATTTTTTTCTAATACATAACAAAAAATATTAAGTAAGCAGATTTTTCAATATTTTACAGTACAGTACCTAATTTAATAGAATTTATTAATTATTTACAAATCACATTAGTGTTATGACTGCCTCGTTGGCCGAGTGGTCGCAAATGCGACTGCCGGGCGGGGTCTACGGTTCGATTCCCGGGTCGGGTAAATTATTACCGGGTTTTTAAAAAAATCTCATTTCTCAGTAGTAGCACGGAATCTGGAATTGTACTCGGTATATGGCAAAAGGCTCATCCCCTATTACATGGGACTCATAACATAAATAGTGAAAAGTGGGTGTTATATTGTACAGTAGCACTAGGTGCCGTAATGTGCACGAGGAAAAGAGGCGTGATGTTATGTTATATTAATGTTATGTATGCGGAATCACGGGCAACTTACACACGTTTTGCATTCAATAAAATGCATTGTTATTTATGCAGCCCTAGGTAACCTTTTACTGGGTTACTGAACGTGTGTAACTGTGTACATAGCAATTAAAGGGGTTTTTTCCATTTATATATAAACATAACACACCCGCCCTTCTATCCCTGAAATAAACAGATGTGCAAACACGTGTTCTAGAGATTAGTGCGATCAAACAAACGTCTTCAGCTTTACCATATACTAGCTGTAGAACGCGACTTCGTTCGCGTGAAAAAAGTAGCCCAAGTTACTCCATAGTACATTAGCTTCCTGCCAATAAAATATAAAAGTCTCGTCAAAATCGGTCCAGTCATTTCAGAGATTAGCCAGAACAAATTGACAGCCAAAAATTAAAAAAATGTACAAGTCTGTCTCCAATAGGTAGGCAGAGTTAGTGTACAAATGTATGTAGTAGAATGCGGTTATTTCAATATTACTAACAGTCATTCCAATTTCAATTTATATATTTAGATGTATATAAGTTAGAGACCTCTGTTCATCTTCAAATGATGTTTTAACTAAATTCAAAATAGTTATTCGGTATTTCTTTTTACACGTGTCAGATACACACATACTTATAAATCTAATGCAAATTTTATATTATTATTAAAAATTAACATGTCCAAATTACAATGCCAGTTTTATGTCTGAAATAAGTATTAAAATGTTCATTATACCTAGAATAAAAAGTATCTAAAATACAATTCCAATTTCAAAACGCCTGGGTGACGTATCTCGTGACCAGAGTGCCAAGCACGAATAACTATCGCATTTGTAACATAATAGTATCGAGTGCGTTCGGCGCTCTGATTGGTTGGTTTACAAGAGCCGCCCAATCAGAGCGCCGAACGCACTCGATACTATTTTTTTTAAAAAATCATCGAATGACTGCTCCCGCCTGGGTGAGGCGGAAGGGAGTGTCAGACTCTTACTGACTAAAAACCACCCCGTTCCTTCTCCTGCACGTCGAGCCGGAGCCCCGGTTACCCGTTAGGTTCTCCGCGACTCCGAATCGGCATCGGCCCTATTGGGCCCCATCTGTGGTGGTCTGATGGCTCTTTGAGGCGCGCGCGGAACGCGACGCGCCGTACGCTCGGGTCTGTTTCTGGTCGGACGGGGAGCCACCCATGTTCGCCGTCCGCAGGCCCGCGCTTACGGTGGCCGGAGATCGTCCCGCGATCCCCGACGCCCGGTGTGTCCTTCGCGATGGCTGGGTTGCGAGTACTCTGAGTACCAAGCACGAATAACAATCGCATTCGTAACGTACAGTATCGAGCGCGTCCGGCGCTCAGAGGCGTTAGTACGAGTTTGTTTTACGTTTAAAGTAATCGTAACGAGTTCGCGTTCGGCGCTCTGATTGGTTGCTTCATTGGCGTCAGCCAATCACAGTGCCGAACGTGTACTGGTTTCGATTACTTTCAAACTCGTACTAAGGCCTCTGAACTGTGTATTTTTGTTACTGAATCACGTCAAAACTGCTGAAGGGAATTTGGAACAGGGGTAGATTAGGTCTGGAATAACTTATAGGCTACTTTTTATACCAGGGATGCGCAGGCGATGCCGCTGGCAGTAGCTAGTTCAGAATATAGAAACATAAAATCATACATCCGTACATATTTTGTATATGTAGTACAATGTACAAAGATTAAAGGAGAAGTTGGTGACCTTTGCCTTGAGCTAGGGCATTGACATTCAAGTGGCAAAGATCTATAATTCACCTAAGTATTTTTATAACTTTAAAAGGGAAAATGACGGGGTATGAAAATTAAAATTCTTTCCGCGTGCGCCTCAAAGAGCCATCAGACCACCACAGATGGGGCCCAATAGGGCCGATGCCGATTCGGTGTCGCGGAGAACCTAACGGATAACTGGGGCTCCGGCTCGACGTGCAGGAGAAGGAACGGGGTGGTTTTTAGTCAGTAAGAGTCTGACACTCCCTCCCGCCTCACCCAGGCGGGAGCAGTAATACGATGACTTCTCCCCTTAAAAAAAAATTACACGTATTTTTTTTGTATAATAAAATATTACCTAAGTAAAACGAATCAAAGTTTAGAAGTAGGAGTTAAAACATCATTTCTACGTATTAAATGTACATAGAAGTGACGTCACGCGACGTTTCAAATCAATATACCCTCGAAAGTATTCGTTTCTTTAAGAAAATAAAACATACATGTCTTATGTTTAAAATAATCTACCAGATTAAAATAAAATTAAAATTAGGCATCAGCCCGATTATACAAAATAAATATTTTGTCCAACTTGGTAATATAGAACAACACTATTATTATATTCAATAAGGAAACATAATTAATACTCTTATCAATAATTTAATAGCCAAATATATTATAGTTAGAAGAATATTGCACTTCACTACTTAGGTACTAAAGATAAAATAGTTGTTTTTATGACTGTTTATCATCGCTTGTCCTATATATCTACAATGCTATATACTCTTTATTATACAAGTTGTTTAATTAATATTTAAATCATAAAACTCTTCTGTATGTATGTGTATGTTACGGTATTCATCACTATATATGCTGAATCCCCAAGCGATGACTGTTCGCTCCCCACTAACTCCATTGTAGACCTTATTTCTAATGTTTAGAGACTACTTTTGTATCGACAAAATTTGGGTATAATACTATACAATGTATTATACTATTATTATTACCTGTATAAAGTGGAAGAGTTGGTTTGTTTAAAAGCATTAATCTCCATAGAGGAGCCAAAGGTAAGTTGTGGGTTTTAGTTTAGTTGTGAGAGTGTAGTGATTGTGTACAGCAGATGGCAGTAGTAATTCCATATGAATTGCATGTCACAAGGAAATTAAAAAAGGTGGACATGATGTTGTTTAGAAATGTTTGAAGCACTAAAATGTTAGTAGTTTTTTTGTGTGCATATACATGCAATGGGTTACCTCATTATCAGACTTAAGAAAATGACAGACGCCCTTCGTGTCAATGTGTTTATGTTCTGTGTGTCACTCTACCGCTAGGTGCCACGGCCATTGTTGTTGTTCAAGACACTGTCTGCCTTTTTTTCTACAGTCAAAACTGTTTATAACGACATTGAAGGGACCGATTAATTATGATCGTTATAACCAATAGTCGCTATAACCAATATCTTTATGCTTTATAAGACAATAGACTGGACCTCAAAATTTCGTCGTTGTACCCGATTCGTCGTTATAAACGATGTCGTTGTAAGCGGTTTTGACTGTATTTATAACTTGTAATTATTTGTAGATTGGTTTGAAAAACAGAAAAATTCAGAAATCATAGTGTTGGGAAAATTGTTTAATATGAGAAAAAGGAAAGAAAATATATTTTACTTACCTTTTCAAAGCGCAAGAACTGTTCATTGTAGATTGTGTACATCCTCTTTGTGGCAATATGCCTCTCATCATCCAAGACTCGTGTTGCTTCAGTATGTTTGAACAGCGGATGACTTTCCATGAAACTCCAAATATCATGCTGCAATTAAATATGACAAGTTATAATATTAAACTGTCAAACACCAAGCGGTCACCGGTGACCGCAACCTATTGTTCTTTAATTGTGTCTATAAAACCGGTACTCGACGAGTTAAAAGACAACAAATAAGAACTTTTAAGCCTAGAAGAGATTTGGCTTTGGCTCAAAAGAACGGGGTGGTTTTTAGTCAGTAAGAGTCTGACACTCTTTTCCACCTCACCTAGGCTGCAGAAGCCATTTGATGATTTTCCCCCCTTAAAAAAAGCCTGGAAGAAATCACTTTTTTGACAATATTAATAGGGACGCCTGTTTCCAATTTAGTTTATAATATTGTATAGAGGAATGTTGTTGATATATTGAAATTATTTAATGAAATTGTTGGAGAGCTGTATGGTATATATCTATTATAGTTTTATTGATTATTTTATTATAAATCTCTACTTACATTAAGTTTAAAAGATGTGACTAAAAAGTGCCTAAATTATTCAATTTAACAACAAAATTATTGTTTAATATTCATGTAAGGTAATGTAGATAATTGTATTGAGAATCAAATATTCATTTAATGTAAATGTATTGGGTATCCATTCACATAATGCATATATTTACATATCAAAATAAAATATATAGAAATTTTTTTCAACACTCACTTTACAGAAAAGTACACAGAAAATATAATACACAGTAATACCTAAGTACTTACTTTCAATTTTAATGTGTTCAAGTTGTCATAAGCCAATTTCATGCGGCGCCAATCAAAAGTTGCCTTTTTCCGGTAATGATCTAAAGGACCTTTAGGCAGGTCTGGTAAATACAACCTTAATTGTTCGTCGACTCCTTGGTCCTTTGCCATTTTTTTTAATTTTTATACCTTGCTAAACAACTTTACTCACTGCCGAAGACTTTAGAACTGCGGCTATTTAAATCAGGGTACAAAGTCAACGTTTTTATCGAAGTTTTTATGACAGTTTAATTTTATCTGTTACTAAGGTTTTAAGCATTTATTTATGATAAAGATAGACACAGAGAGATGATTAAATGTGATTAGCAAAAGGAAAACTTAATCAGTTTCTTGTTATCAAGACTTTGAGAACATCCTGTGTAATCAAAGGCCGAAAGATTACTGACAACAAAACTACTGGACAACTTTCACTTGCAAAGTTTACAAACTTGTTTTTATAGCTCTATCGGCAAGTTCAAATAACTTCTTGAATATTACAAGTTTGTGATTAATATGGTAATGATAAAGTACGTAGATAATTTTAGACTTACGTACTTTACAAAAAAACTACGATAATCCGATTAACGTAAACAACATCGTAATTCTCATTTCTCACACTATCTTGACAATGACAGCTGATAAATGAGTAAGTACGTGAATTGTGAAATAATAGTGATGTGATGGGATTACATAGTTCACTATTTCAGAATATCCGTACAGGATAACAGGACTATCGCATTAGGCGAGTGGTAACAATGCGTATGTAATCTCGATTACCGCAGAAAAGCAAAGGTGTATTGAGTGCACTGAGTTGTTAGAGTTCTATTACCGTAATAGGCGATATCACCTCATCGCATATAATATGGAATACGTTGTAAACCTGCTGGTTGCTATAGAAGAAAACTGTAAGAAATTTATTCAAATATCATTAGAAGTTTAGTGCTGATGATTAACTACCGTTAGAGGAAGTCGACTATGTAATGTTTTTCTTACTAATCTGCATTTTATTGGCTGCACTACTATGTAAATGTCATCAATCTTTTGGCGCAGTCAAACTTCAAACTTGACACTGACACGACTGACCGACTTCGTGCCATTCACGGTTTGATTCGAAGTTCAAAGCATTAGGTATAGTTTCTATCTCTTTTGTACACTTTTAATAACGTATACGTTTTCTTTTTCGTTCGAACTAAATTATGTCTATTTTTAACCCAAAGCAATGGAATGCCACCAAATACCAATGACCGGAAAGTTACAGTAAACAGTATTATTTTATCAAAACAAACAAAATATTTAGTTAGTGAATAAAACACAAATCAGTCTTAAGTTAGTGTTTCAATCACAATGAATTCGGGTACGTATCTAACTTTAGTTTAGTCCTAGATATTAACATAAAAAATATTTGTTTTGTGTATCAATAAGTGCAAATATTATTTACCACCATGTTTCATCTATCCAATATTCATTTTTAAAAGTGTAAGTTTACTAATTAGGTCTCACATTTGATTTTAAACGTTAATTTCAAATACTTTTCTAAAACTCTAATAGAGGTTATAAAAAGTTTTGACAACTTTAAGTTACACTTTTTTTCCTTGTATGATATTTATAGTTTGGGTTGTAAGCATTTGCATATATTGCATTAACTTTAGTGATAAAATATTTACTACCAGCCTAATTATCTGAGCCGTGGAGGACTTAACGGGTTGCCGGGGCTCCGGCTTGAAGTGCAGGAGTAGTAACGGGGTGGTTTTAGTCGGTAAGAGTCTGACACTCCCTCTCGCCTCAACTGGGCGGGAGAAGTCATTGATTGATGATTGATGATGATTTTCTCTCCTTAAAAAAAGCTCTTTAGGTCAAGTGGATCTTGGTCTCCGATACAAGATTTGCTATTTCTTCAATTAAATTATCTCGAAACTCAAAAGACCTCTGATATGTAATTACTTATTTTTTATTTATTTGTATTCTTTACTTGGTTAGTATATTTTTAAATATTTAATTATATATTTAAAAAAATATATAAAAGCAATAGCCCACCAGTAACGGGAGAAATACACGCTACTGGTGGTCAGGGCTCTAGAGAGAGGAATTTCTGGACAATATGTGCCGTGTCCAATTACTAAACTACAAATTTTCATGTTGTTGAATGTATTATTGAAGCTAATTTTGATGGCTATAATAGCATGATCTCAATTATGAACCCACTGCTAAATAATGGATTTCTTCTACAAAAGAGGAGTATGCCGTAATTTCCAAGTTTGGTCAGCAGGTTGGAGCTTAATATTAAATTCTAAAAATAGAAGAGTGAGCATGTGTGACTGCTGAGCAAGAGGATGGATTCCTTGCTCAGGTTCAATTTCCGTATTGTACCACAATTACATTGGGGATTAAATGAATGAGGTTACACGTTTTTATTCATCAATGCTAACTCTACTATAAAAAATTATTACAATTTTTTGGTACACCATTGCAACTCCAACACTTAAACATAAAATACATAAATATGTCACATTAAATCGCAGGTGTAGTAGCTTGTAGTAGGTACGTAGTAGTTCGCTCATAGTAACTACGCAGTAGCTTGCAGTAGCTACGTACTCCATAGTAGCATAATGTAGTAGCTACATAGTAGCTCGTAGTAGCTACGCACTGCATTGTAGCAGAATGTAGTAGCTACATAATAGCTCGTGTAGTTCGCTCGTAGTAACTACGCAGTAGCTCGTAGTAGCTACGTACTGCGTAGTAGCACAATGTAGTAGCTACATAGTAGCACAATGTTACATTACAATGTAGTAGCTACATAGTAGCTCAATGTTACATTACAATGTAGTAGCTACATAGTAGCACAATGTTACATTACAATGTAGTAGCTACATAGTAGCTCAATGTTACATTACAATGTAGTAGCTACATAGTAGCACAATGTTACATTACAATGTAGTAGCTACGTAGTAGCTCAATGTTACATTACAATGTAGTAGCTACATAGTAGCTCGTATAGTTCGCTCGTAGTAACTACGCAGTAGCTTGCAGTAACTACGTACTGCGAGGTAGCACAATGTAGTAGCTACGCACTGCGTTGTAGCACAATGTAGTAGCTACGCACTGCGTTGTAGCACAATGTAGTAGCTCGTAGTAACTACGCAGTAGCTGGTAGTAGCTACGTACTGCGTAGGAACACTATGTAGTAGCTACTTAGTAGCTCGTAGTTCGCTCGTAATAATTACTCAGTAGCTCGTAGTAGCTACGTACTGCGTTGTAGCACAATGTAGTAGGTACTTAGTAGCTCGTAGTAGTTCGGTGTAGTTACTACGCAGTAGTTCGTAGTAGCTACGTACTGCGTTGTAGCACAATGTAGTAGCTACATAGTAGCTCGTATAGTTCGCTCATAGTAACTATGCAGTAGCTCGTAGTAGCTACGTACTGCGTTGTAGCACAATGTAGTAGCTACATAGTAGCTCGTATAGTTCGCTCATAGTAACTATGCAGTAGCTCGTAGTAGCTACGTACTGCGTAGGAGCACAATGTAGTAGCTCGTAGTAATTACGCAGTAGATCATACTGCGTAGTTGCACAATGTAGTAGCTACGTAGAATCATGCTATGTTTAGAGCCGCTACGTTCCTCGCAGGCGTTGCGTAGTTCCCACGAAGTCGTAGTACGTAGACGATACAAACGACTACGTAGTACGTAGTAGCTACCACTGAATCAACATGATTGAGAAAACTCTTTGAAAAAGTAATTTCATTAGTTGTTTATGGTATAACAACTACAGAGTATTACTATATAGAACTGTTTATGTTACGTAGGCCTTGGGATATACCTAGGCTAGGCGTAACAATTTGTGATGTTTTAAGTAGGTAATTTTTGAATGTTTTTTGCATAGGTGAATTGATAACCACGAATATAAAACATATATCCATACTCTCAACTTATAAACAAATGTAATAAAACGAAGCATTTCCAATATGAACACAATCGTTGCTACAATTTCTGTAAAAAAAACAACACCGATCTTCAAACAGCCAATTCCATAAACACAAACACAATAGTGAAAAAAAAACAAAATGAAATCGTTGGGACGATGTAGCGTAGAGACACTTAAAAAGCCAATCACGGAATGGAACCGATGCAATATGCACGTAGGCTATTAACTGGTGTACACTGATTCTGTGGAGTTGCACTCCATTCGCAATCAAATAAACCAACTCTTTTAAATCCTCGTCAATAATTATGCAAAAAGTTCTGTTAGGTACAAAACGATTTTATTTGTAGTTGTTGTTCCTTGTTTTTTTTTGTTTTGGCAATAAATTTTGGGGAATGAGTTCCGATTTTGAATGATTTGTGGAATATGGATTGTTGTGTTGTTTCAATTTTATTTCTTTCATGACTAACTTCGTAGGATTTTCGGTTTTTTTTTCTGTCATACGAACCTCGTCTCCTGATAATAACGAACAACAACAAAAAAGTGAAATCAGTCCGTTCACGCGTGATGGCGTGTCCAAAAGATCATCAACAACAACCTATAAATGCCCACTGGCTGAGCAAAGCCACTTCTCACACGGAGAAGTTTTGAGTTTACTATGAATGTCTGCAATACGTTCTCAACTGTTATAGCATTATACTACGTCATATAATGTAAACCTTTCGGAGGATACACCAATAATAGTGCAAACTTGTGACGTATTATGAATTTTTCGAATAACGACACGTCGCAGTAATCACGCATGACAATCGGCCAATCATAATTATGCCAGTAATTTGATGAAAGCCTTTGTTCAGATACAATAGCGATGCAATTCTGTAACGTACTATTATTAAAGAATCGTAATAATAAACCAATTTCGAACACAAAATGCTTTTTGTAAGCCACTAATTGTTAAGTTGGTTAAGTAGTAGTTTGAATTAATAAGTTCTGTTATATTAGGCATCTACATACATTTCAAGTGTTGGTTGGCACGAGGTCTGGGATTGTGACCGGTATATGGCAATAGGCTCACTTTCTATTACATGGGGCTCATAATAATAACATAACTTAAAGCGGGGTACCCTTCACTGAAGGGATAGCCCCCATCATCATCAACAGCCTATAAATGCCCACTGCTGAGCAAAGCCTCTTATTACACGGAGAAGGTTTGAGCATCAATCACCGCGCTTGCTCAATGCGGGTTGGCGATTACAAACTTATAATTAGAAATTATAAGTCCAGGTTTCCTCACGATGTTATTCCTTCGCCGTTTGTCAGTGGTGTCTAGATAATGTTAGAAAGTACATATAACTCGGAAAAAGTCACATTAGTACTTGCCGATGGTAGAGATGGTACAATTGTATAACATTGTGTTATGTGTCAGGGCACAGTAATCGTTAGCAATACATTCATAGATTATTTTAATCGTATAAGAAATAAACGACGTTTATCACAACGGGGCACTTAGCCCCATAGACTCGTCGTTGTTGGCCCTTTTGCCTCCAAAACCAGAAAAAAATTCTCACAGTATTAATGATACTTTCACGTACCGCTATTAAATAAGAGGTAAGTTAAAATGGCGACATTTTTGAATCGAGGGTCCCGTTATAAGGAGCAGTGGTAAAATATAGCATTTTCCCGTGGAACGTGAAGGCACCTCGTCTCCTCTTGAGGTTTGGCAATCGTGCTGATGGTTTCGTCAACTGTTATGTCTCGAGTGTCGGACAGACGTTCTTGGATTATATTGAAACAGGATACGACTTTATTCTTTTAATAAATGCTCATTTCTTTATACGATGGACATCGACGTCATAGCCTAGATATGACCATATCTAGGTATCCCAGAAGTCAATGTCCAATCGTATTATTGGCATAGTCGTAGCAGATACAAGAAACATATCGACTAAATAACAAAAAAGGAAAATGAAAAAGTGCATTATTAATATTGTAGTGTGTCATCGTAACAATGGTTTAGCAGTACCTATAATTGACATTTTAGCTTATAGGTATAATTCTTGTTCACAAATGAAGCAAAACTATTTTTTCTGAGAAATTATGTTATTATTTGAACAGGCATTGGCGTTACCAGCTCTTTATAATATTGGATCAATAAAAAATATTCTTCAATGTATGTATGAACAAATGACTATTTTTAATTTTTTTAAAGATGCCCATAACTTTAATGCAGTTTGACAGTGGGACCTGAAATCCAAACAAAAAAGTTAAAAGGTTTAAAACAGAGATCAAACGAATAAATTGTTTAGTTTCTTATCCTGATTTATAACATCTAGGGACACCCAAGCGGCGACTGAGAACTTAAAACGGTCGGTACCTGTTATGAGCCATCTCGTAAAATATATCTAATATTTCTTAACTAACTTTATTTTACTGTGCAGTCGTGTATCTTGAACATTTCAACTGAGATTCTTTAAGGTACTTCAAAAAGCCATTTGAGTTTTGCTCCCATTTTGTTGTGAACGACTGTGCAGGTAATGCGTTTTCATTGAGATAAAATGCTCGTACGAAGTCACTACTTCACTTGTATTTAAAGATGCGCAGTTGCCATTAGAATGATTATAGTCTTTACACAATGTAGTTAAAATTATTAAACAGGTCTATAATGTCCTCAATAAGTGTTGTATGCAAGTTAATTACTCGCGTTTCGAATCTGCCAATATAAATTAAATTTTGTGGATTATACAGTTGATTGATCCAGAGATTTTGAATTAAGGTGGGTTCGTAATTTCGGCTGTTAATCGGGCTTAGGTTTCTATCTGTCAATCGTATCAATACGGCTCTTTTATGTACTCGTATCATGGTTTTTAAAAATTAATGTACTGACAGTCTACGCTGGTCTTCTATGCAGGTCTAAATCTGTTTTTGAAGATAATCGAAGCCATTTTAGTCTGTACGATTCCAGCGCATGTATAGGTACGTAGCATGCAGAATTTATTTCACGATAAAAATAAATTCGAATGCAATACAATCTTTGACTTTCTGTATCGTAGTCTAGAATTGGGTTTCTGAATAAACGAACAGAATCGTTTTGTTTGGGACTTGATTTTGTATATTTTTTACTCTTACTGCTAAAAATATTCGGTTTATTTTTTGTCTGTATAGTGAACTCTTATTTATAGATAGAGATACAGTATTTTAGTAGCATAGCCTTCGACATTTTATACCCTGGAGGTTTACTTATTCAGAAACATAAAGCAGACTATAAAGATACAAATATAGTGCCATCAGTAACTGCAGACATCCAACGAGAAATAATTTTAATATTTTATTGTAACAATCTCTACAAGCTTCTTCTCTTATTGCTGGTCGGAGAAACTTTATTAAATACATCTTAAGTATTTGGCTGTAGATATTGGTGTTTTCTTTGTTGTTTCTTATTTGGAGTTTATTTTACTTTTTAAGATTGGTTTTTTTATTGATCCTATCGGTCTTTTTCATCCCTATTCAATTAGAAGCTTCTCATTTATAGTCTTATAAGTTTACAGTCGTTCTTAGTCTTGTTATGCTATCAACAGATTATTTTTCTCATCTCGTGATAACAATACAATCAAAGTACCTATTACTGGGCATCAACGATGTAAGTATGTGTAATAATATCTATCGATATCATGACAGTTTTTAAACTTCTATGTATAGTAGCCGGCACGAAACGTGACCAAAATTTTGAAGTATGTATGTTATAGAAGTAGAAGCAAGTTAACGTAAGAACAAGAAAAAGAATCTGTGTTGAAAGTTAAAGTGAGAAATAATGTGAAGGGAAAACGCAAACTTAAACCACGATAAATATGACCGTGTCTCATGGCGGGAAAACACAAATTAGCTCAGCAGGAGAACCTATATTTTCCACAAATTCTACGCTAATATACTAACCTAAAAAAACTCAATTTCACAAATTGAGTTTTCAAGAAATAACCCTATGAAATCAATCAAATACTTACAGCAACTGGAGGATTTTTTGCGTAAAATTTTCCAATATTTATGAGCACCGCCGAGCTACCATCGTACTAATTACCGGGGCATAGACGGCATAGTCTATATAGAGAGCCCTCGGCCTCGGAGCGCTTCACAATCGTTGTTTGTGCATTCAATAGAGCTTGGGGATTGAAAAACCACAATTTGTATAGACAGGACATATTGTGTTGAGCCAATCACCGAGATGGATTTTGCTGTCGCGTTGAATAAATTTTATTTTTACTTTTTTTTTTGTAACTAGTCGAGCCTTTGAGTGTTTGGGTTTTAATAACGAGTTGTGTCATCAATTCATCATTGATGTATTTCTTATTTTGTTTTAAGGGCGGTTTTTCTGATAGAAATGGGAAATAAAAGTGTGGGATAGGCACGAATGGGTCGGCTCGACCGGAGTGATACCACGGCCGAGCAGAAAACGTGACACAACGCTTTAAGTTGTGTTTCATCTTGTGAGTGAGGTTACCGGAGGCCCAATTACCCCCGTCCCTTCACCAATCTCCCCAATCCCTGAATCCCCAACAATCCTCAAATTCCTAATCCCTAAACGGCCGGTAACACACTTGTAACGCCTCTGGTGATCCAGGTATCTATGGGCGACGCTGATTGCTTGGATGCGCCTTATCCTATAGAAATTCTAATGTTAACGTAATTTAAAAAGCCTCTTGGTAGACGACTTCTACTTCTGAGTGACCAAGTGTTATTCATAAAATCTTATTTGTTAACAGTTTTTAAGGGTCTTTGTATGCTCACGCCCCACCACGAAACCCAGGACTGTTTCTGACATTTTCTAAACTGCTTTTTCCATCGGGAAAACACTTCCGAGAGTAAATTGAAATTCAAACCTCCAGTGATCAGACTTCAGTCACCACAACGTAACAACAAGGTCATTAAAATTTTAATTAAGTATTGACTTTTGTTTTATTTTACCATGTGTTTTTATAATATCTACTTAAAATCTTTTTAAAATAAAATGTTACCATGCTCAACAACCATTATTTACTGTATTTGGCGTAATAATTCATTTATAAACTACGTTTAAAAAAGACGACTTCAGCCCCCTCTTTTTTTGAAGTCGGTTAATAGAAATACTAAAACCTTCCATAAGGTGTAACTACATCTAAATCGGTTCAACCAACCGCGACATAAATCACGCACAAACATACATACACTGATAAAGGTCAAACTGAGAATCTCCTTTTTTTGAAGTTGGTTAAAAATGCATAGTATTAAACTGTATTTTAAACAAAAACGTCCTTAATTTACTTTACCGTTCCCCATTATAGGCTGTATGCGATTATGTCTTGATGTAGTAACTGTGAACTCGTAAAAAAGTTACGCAGTTTACGGCTACGGCTTTCGTTCGTCAGTATCCATTTGAGAAGCGGGGGTGGTGCACGCCCTCCGCTCCTAAGTTTCCCGCCAATATGTACGCGAGAGGTACGACCGGTGTTTTATGTGAAACATTTTGATATTTCGCAGTAAAATTACAGAAATTAATTATAAATTTAAAAAATAGAAAATAAAAATAGACCTTTTACTAAATTTTTTTGTAAGTTTTAGATTTGTAATTTTAGTTTATGATATTGTTTCAGTTGTAACGTTGGTGCTAATTCTCGCCTACATAGAATCTATACAAAGTTTTGGTAAGTTTTTGATTCATTTTATTATTTGTTTTATATATGTCAGAGCAAGCTAATAACTTTATTAAACAATGATTACCTTTGGGTATTGTTCTCGAATTAAATACTATTAAACTATCTATATGTTGATAATAAAATCTATTGTGTAATGAATATGTATTACTTCATTTCCGGTAGGGCTATCAATAGCCACTCGCTACAATATAACTAGATTTTATTTTAATTTAAATTCTTATTTTTAACACTCGTTCGTTTTTTTAAGTTTTGTTATGGCCTAAATTTTTTTACAGCACCTAAAATACATAACGTTGCGCTTAATAGTGATAATTTTTTCACTATTTATTTCTATTTTGTAATGGATTGGGTTGCGTAAAAAAGACGTTAACTTGTTTCACGAAAACTATCAAAAATATCGAACAAAATATTTGTGTACGCCCCACAGCCTACTACATACATAACTTTACGCCTGAAAAAGCGAAAAACTTATATAAAAAAAGTGAATTTGACTCCCATGTGGGTAGGCTGAGACGCCAATTGCTACGATTCTTACACCTCTTTCGCTTCGTCAACAGTCATCAGTCTTTTTTAGTTCATGCATGCTCGTCGGTTACGGGTACTTTTAATTTGGCCCTTCTTTAATATATCGCCAATCTGGTCACTATATGTCCGTCTAGGGTGCCCTCTACTTACAGCTCCATTCATATCCGCTCTGTATACTTCTTTCGTTACTCTACTTTCATCCATGCTTTCTACATGTCCAAACCAGCCTACTCAGCCTACTCTTTCATTCAATGACAGACAACGTTATGTTAAACTGTGACTAATTTTAAAATCACTCTCTATCGGTAACTAAAAAGCTTTTTGACAGCTGAATTCAAGGAGTTTATAATGTATGTCAAAAATACTCGTAAAATAGAGAACGATATTCAGTTTACCGTAATTTTATAATAGGAGTGTGACGTGCAAATGTTTATTAAACAAGTTTTAACTTGCAACTGAATGATTTTAATCCGTTAGCAATGTTTGTTTCAAATATTTTAAACGACAAATTATCAAGTTCAATCTCTATCCATATTTAAGCTATATTAAATGATCAGCTAGAAGCTTTTTGATGGATATTTGGGAAACGCGTTTGGTGTACTGTACTTATATTTTTATTATAACTTTTGTCCATGCTCGCTTGCAATCAGTTGACCAGTTTGCTCGTTTTCTCTCGATTCTATAAAAGAATGTGCTCATCTTTAACCCATCAAGTGGCTTGCTTATACATGGCATAATTATTAATTCTTAAACACATGAATAATTTTAAAACGTGAGCCAAAACATTATACAGTTAAAATTAACTTATTATTACTATTTTATTCTATATGCATTGGTAACGAAAAATTTGCCTTCAAACTTATCTATCTACTAAAAAGACTTAAACCAAATAAATCTAAGATTTTGAATCAAAGCAAAACATATAACTTCTTGCTGCGAAGAACTCACCCAACCGTTCGATGTATTTCCAAACGATTAATCGCAGCTCGATTGATTTTGAAGCAGAACTCAAATAAATCTTCTTTGATATCAAATTTATCACGAGATTTTTACGTCTCATTGAATATTGCTATCCGTTTGGTGCTCTTAGTCATTCATGTCAGCTCGCCAGTTCAAATAACTGTTTTAATTACAGAAAGGTAAGGTTTGAAATTGGTAATTAATGTAATTGAGTGTCGTCTGTTGCCTTATTGACTCATTTTGTTAATATAGACAAGAAATGGACATGATTTTATGTTTGGTTTTATAGGTGTTGTGTCAATGATATAGTTAGTTTTTTTGGGATTGTATATTCTTCTTGAGTACAGGATCTAAGTTACGTCATTTAGGGACGAGCGATTAACTTATGCAAAATATTGGCAAAGGTAACTTATTATGTGTCTGTGAATAATCTAATTGGAATAAATGTATTGACTTCGCACTGAACAAGAATAAATAGATGTCATTAAACAATTAAAAGTTTTTAAACGACATCTCCACATATAAATGTTTAATAATAATCTTCTTTGTCCAATCAAGTACAACATTAGCTACATAAAGGTATCCTTGAATTATTTAATTTGTGTTCGGTTTCCCTTGTCAGTGACAAGTCGATACACGGGTAGAATTTTAACAAGTTTTGAACTTCAGTGTGTCATTAACGCCTAATTGTTTGTTAAACTATATCTATGTTTGATATATTCCAAGGCCTTATACGTCTGCCCGTCAGTTTCTAATGGATATACTTTTGTAATGGGAATGGTTTCGGTACTCTGTAATTAATATTTCTATCAATTAAATTGTACTGAACGAGTTTGTCTGTCAAGTGACCAGTAGTTGAGACTGCACATACTTTTAAGTGTGGGAGAGCCATGCTTCGGCACGAATGAACCGGCTCGACCGGAGTGATACCACGGCCTTACAGAAAACAGACGTGAAACAATACTTGCGTTGCGTTTCGTCGTGTGGGTGAGGTTACCGGAGACCAAATTACTCTCCTCGCCAATAGTCCCAGTCCCCGAATCTCCAATATCAAATTGCTAATCCCCAAAAGGCCGGTAACGCACTTGTAACACATCTGGTGAGGGCAGCGCCGATTGCTTACCATCAGGTGATCCTTGTTTACTTACTCTTAAAACATTGAGCCTAACGATTTAGACACAGTTATATCACCATCATTTAGATATAAAAAAAAACCTCCAATAAGTATTTTAACCAACCTGACGACGACGGTTGCATCCTTTTCTTTTTGTCTTACATTAAGGCTTTAAACTTTTATTTCCAAGAGTCGGTAAGAATATGTAATACTTTAGGATCCACTCTTGAATGTTGATGCAGAAGACTTCCAACTACGTCTGAGTCCCTGGTACCTTCACTACCTACAGACACTACAGCTTGTGAGTCCTCTGACAAAGTTTTAAGCTGAAGTGAGGGTATCTTGAATAATTTAACGTATACTTAGACAAGTAAGGTTTAAGTTAATACGGTAACTTGTGCTGGTATGGTGTTAGCAATTTTCGAATTAAAGTGTGTCAGTTTTTGTGGTAGACTGAGGTAGTAAAATGGGCGATCTGATGCTATGTAATTTGTCGCCAGAACAAAGTGTATTTGAATAAGAATAAACTGTGTTTAGTAACTCTATATAGAAAGAAATTAGGGTTATTTTTCTTCTCTTACAATATCTTCTGATTCATTTCGTTGCGGGAACTAAGACAGTTATTCATGTCCCTGGGACGCGCCGGACTTTAGATCCTGGCTTACAGGAGTTGCAGCGGTTTTAAAAGGTTGTGTCGGGCTTGTACCAATAAAAAAAGTGACTCTATAATTATGTCCAAGGAGCTCCGAGAGATAAATGCAGAAACACACTCGTTAATTTACATTACAAAACAATATAATTACAATTTACAAAACTTAAAACCAAAAGCAACACCAGTTGGCACTATTTTTTTAAATTAGTTATCACAGCATTATACTTGAGACGGCTACATCAGAAATTGTTCATGAATTTCGCCAGACTGTTGTAATTCTTGTTTCTTTTTGTTAAAACTTTCGGCCCACTTAAAATACCGGCTTACCAGCAGAGATGAAGTAAAGTTCTCAAGTAAAGAGTTTGTATAGCTCCCGTGTTGTGACGTCATAGTCCACGTTATTAAGTTTGCAAGGAGGTTTTAATCGTTTGAGTTTCTCTACTTGCAGTTTATTTTACTGTTAAAGAACGTTGTTATTTCTGGCGGCCAATTTTTTTTTGAGATTTATAACATTTAATGTATCGTTCATGGGAAAAATTAATTTAGAGAAACAAAAAAAGACTCAAAGAGCATAGACTGATTTTTTAATCAGATAGAGAATATACATGGGCTCCGTGTATTGCCGAATGTTTTACACAAATTCATTTTTGTACAAACACAAAATAAAAAGACAAAGTCTCTCAAACAAATACACTGTATACATATTCAATTCGAATATCGTTTGATTTACATGTAATAGGCCTTAATACCAAAGCTAGACACAGAGTGTATGTTTTCCACTTTGTTAACAGCCTTTAATATTTATGGAATTATGGAAAACTTTTAAAAAGGGTTGGAGCAAAGGAAATAACTGGCTGCTCCATCATAACTACCACTAACAGGTCAGTTTGGCCACAAACTAATAATTTTCAACGTGGAGGAAAGTGGAGCTAAAGTGGTACTAAAGAATGCTTTGTTTACCTAATTTCTTATTAGGTAAATGATTTGGAACAAATGCAGATATCTGGAGAAGTACATAATTATTTTATGTTACCACAAAAAGCTATCGGTGGATATCGAAATATTAAAAGCGTATAAGTAGTATAATAAAAGTATAATCATTATAAACATCCCATTCCTCTTATACATAACATAACAGAATTTCCACTTTAGGCAGGTAGGTGGAGATCGCAATCTTTGCCAAATGCGTAGTCCCTTAAGGTACTGTTACACATCATCTAAAATAGCATGCTAAAAGATGTTCCGTCAGGTGATCCGTCTGCTCGTATAAACATTTTTTTATGGAATAGGAGATTCCATAAAAAAAATTTTCTATTGCACATGCTTGAAAATTTTCGAAAAAAATGAGGATGCTAATTTTGAGCTCCATTCCGATCCACACAGCTACATTCGTGCTTGAAATTAGCATGTGTAACAGTTCTTTAGTCAAGAAAGTGGTGTTGACATGTTGACTGCAGCACCACATGGTGAAAAAGTTGAATCAAGTAAGCGCTTTATCAACCAAATCAGATCGTCAGTCAATTTATGAAACTCTCCAAAAACTACAATAGGACCTAAATTACCGTTCACATTCGTAATCGAGTTTACAGTCAATAAATCCTCTATGGACGCTGACATAGTGGACATACATTCATAATTTCTACACAGAGCGTATGACTGTATGAATAGTCGCCAATCTGCCGCTGCTGACAATTCAATCAATTAGCCACGTTCGGCCAGCTCCGATATACAAAACCA